ATTGAGTGGTTGAGACACCATCTATTTGCGTTTATACTTTGTTTCTTTGCCTCACTTCGAGATCTACCATCACTCGCCCAACTTGCAAATAAATAATAATTATGCTTCATTTACTACAACTAAACATATGTGAATTCATTCCTTTTTACGACAATAAAAACCACAGTCTTCCAAACATTTCGTCTCTTGTACACTTAATGCACTCACGCCTACACGCAATTAAAAGCAATACCCAAGATACTTTTATTAATGATGCGGAGATAAACTATGAATTATTTCGGATTAAACAATTGACAGTGGAAATAAACAGTCCTCTAAATACGCAATTCTGTGCATTGATAAAATCAGTAGATCTCAGACGTTATACTCTGGTGGCGCGCAGATAAACTATCGACATTGAAGCGATCTCGGCCTCCGGATCGGCTATAAGTGTTCTTGAGAATATACGGATACGGCATTTTGACCCAAATCGTCATATGCCCACATCCATGTATTACTATTAGAATGAGATTAAGTATTGTATTACTATTGATTACTATTGATATGTTTTGATTTACTATTGATATGTATGATTATGTATATGTATGATTTACTATTGATATGTATTACTATTGATGAAGTATTGTATTACTATTAGAATGAAATTAAGCGACTTGTGTCGCATTCTCATCACCATTCTACATCATGACTCGAACTCCTCAAAATTCGCGTCCACAAATACGATACTTTTCCATCATTCTTCATCCTTGTTTACATATTGCTTTACGAATTACAACTTCTCCTAATAAAATCGCTGATAAAATACTTTTTCCTAGCAACTCGCCCATTATATCCAATATGTATGAGCACCCTGCGCACAGTTTCAGGATGAACGGGCGTTCCATTTGAAGTATCCAGTTCAGCAGATAGCTTCCGAGAGCTGATCCAGGGGTTCTTCTTCATTCGTCTCAATAACACGCGTCCTTGTTGCTTATTTTGACTGGTCGCCCTCTCTGAGGAGTAGATCAATCCATACGTCTTTCTTGTATCTCTGTATTTTGCCATTAACAGTACTCTTACAAATATTTAATATTTCTGCTATCTCTCTTTGCGTACGGCTCTTGGCTTGATGAACAATCACTAATTGTCGCTCCTCGAACGTAGTGTTGCCAATTTCGCGCCTCTTCCTTTTTAGATCTGCTACTTCTGCTGTCAAAACAGTTTCTGAACATAAACTGTGATGTTTCAGTTCATGATTAGGGATGTTTTCACCTCACCACCTCGTAGCAAAATCTGAAATTATTTTTAATTACGAGCAACTCGCAAAATTGCCCGAATATTAAAGTGGAGTTACATCCTCCCTTCTGAATACACAAGCAGTTTTTTTACAAATTCTTTAAACCTTTAATGCTCTAGTTGACATCAACATCGTTAGCCGGTGTCGTTAGCCGAATTCGTGTCCTACGCTCTGTGAAGTCACGGAGACGGAGGTTAAGCGAATTCGAGACTCGTGGGTTCCTGGATGGGGGACCGGCTAGGAACACCGGAATGTAACGGCGTGGAAGACTCGGCCCAAGGAATAAAAGGCACTGATTGTCTGCGCCGTGACGAGACCTGACGAAAGTAAAAGAGGAATACTCCACGCAAGCGCTCAACGCCCGACAAGGGTTGAAGCGACAACGGAAAAAAAAAAATCAATAAAGGTGAAAATGTAGTGTCTAAAAATTTTGTCTATTGTAAGTCGAAATGTACTTGAAATAAGGCTACGGAGGACACGAAAAATCGGGGAAAAATTAATTTTTCATGACTAGCGCCATTTTATTTTCTGTCTTCTCCTGAACTCGCTGATATATAGTTTTACTACGTTCTTGACCCTAAAAAATATTTAGTAGAATCATGCAGTAGTCAGGGCATTTAAAAGAGTGGGCATAACCCATGGAGGAATGTAGAATGGGAAAAAATGATTAGTTTTTAGATATTTGCAAAAGTTCGAGATATTGTTTACTGTTCATGGCTGCACTGTTAGTTTACGTCTAGCATGCTTTGATTGTTTACTCTAAATAAAACTATTGTTGTGAAAAATAATAGAAGTAATTGCGTTGTAGTTGTATTGCTGCTTGTAAGTAGTTGAATAGAAGTAATTGTATTGAATAAAAAAAAATTATTGTTGGGTAAATAAACTTCTTATGTTAATGATGAAACAATTGGGAATATCTGTTGGAAGAAATGCCAAATTTTTCCTCCAGCGCATTGCCAATCAACGCGCGCGTAAGTGCGAAAAACAATTAAATGATCTCCTAAAACAATTGTTTAGTTTACTATTTGCAGATGACCAGATGATAATGGCTGAAGATGAAGACGACGTAACATATGTTCAGAAAATTAGTAGAAGAGTATGGAAAATGGGGGATGGAAATAAATTTACAAAAAACTGAATATATGGTGGTGGGAGGTAAGCCCCATGATTTAGAGAGTAGTATAGGAATAATTAAAGGTAAAACACAATATAAGTATTTGGGAGTCACACTAACAGCAGATGGTAGAGACGAACAGGATGTGAAAAATAAAAATATAAGAGGAAAAATAGCCACACGACAGCTGAACCCAGTGCTATGGAACTCAATTATTTCAATGAAAACAAAGAAACGCATATACAGTTACTTCATAGAGAGTACCACACACTATGGGGTAGAAGTCTGGACACTATCAAAAAAATTGAAAGACAAATTTCAATCAACAGAAATGATGTTCCGGTGAAGATGTTGTAAACTTTCTGTGTTAGATAAAATAAGAAATGATGAAACAAGAAATAAAATGAAAGTGCAAACAACCTTGAACAAGATGATCAAAATGAGACAACTAAAATGGTATGGACATATGAGAAGGTTGAAATCGGATAGACTTCCTCAAAAAATTTGGGAGTGGATACCAAAACGAAGAAGATACAGGGGAAGACCGAGAAGAACATGGAACATGGCAATAACTGAAGCCAGGAAAAAAGAGAAATGGAAGAAAACGATGTATGGGAAAAAGAGGCATGGAAATTGGGATGCGAAAAACGGCCAAGGCTGTAAAAAACCGCTAAATAGATAGATAGATAGATAGATACTAAAACAAAAACACAAGAAGAATCAGGGAACTAAAAGAAAAGTAATAAACAAGGAGGTTCCAGATTATCCAAAATATGGAACAGGAATGCACTATGTGACCGAGTACCTGCAAAATTCATCACCAAAACTTTGAAGTCAATTTACTCACATTCAGAAGCGAATGATTGAATATCAGATTTTTGGGCTGATTGGCATTAACATAGATATAAATGTTATATATTAAAAAATCAATCTTGTAAGTGAAATAGTTTTTTATATATGAGTATCTAAAATCATAAAATTAACATGGGGAACATGGGGATGTCCTACTCCCTAGGAGAGGAAAAAGGGCCTTGTCCGAATATTACTGCTTCAACGTGTTAAAAACACGCACATAAACCGAAATATTTTACACAATTTTTAAAATGAAATAAGTTGAACATTGTGACTGTTAGCAAGTCCCGTTAAGACACGTTGAAACGGAGACGTATTCGATTGAGATTTTGAATGACATTTGTTACTGTAGAAAATGATTAAAATTACTGTATATTAGTGGATATGTGGCATCGGGGTCCTCCGGAGGCGTCTGAAATCCCGTGAATGCCCCCCCCCTCGGTCTTTATTGTTGGCCCCCTCATCTTTATTTCGGGAATGAGCAGAAGCTGTCGGCGGAAGCGCGGCCTGGAGGGACTGGAGGCCGTACCCCGGGGCGCGCCCGCGGGCTCCGCCGCGCCTTTCACCTGCCCCGTCCCCGTGCGCCGCGCCGGGGAGCGGGCCCGTTTTTGTCCGCGGATCCGCCAAGGGCAAGGACTACCCTCCTACCTGACCACCTCTCCCCTTGTCGCGACGGAAGGGGTGTGAAAACCGTCGTCGGGTGGGGAAGAGGCCTCGGACAACGGCCGGGGGCTCGGCGTTAGAATTCCACTCTCGCCTGCGACCCTCTCAAGGCCGCTTCTGTCGAGGACTGACTGTCAGGGTTGGCGGCGCGGCGGTGCGCAATGCGCTGCCCGGCGGCCGCGAAACACCGCGCACATTTCGTACACATTGGTTTAACTCGGAAACATGCCGTTGAAACGTAAATTCTTAATTTCGGAATTTCGCGCGTGTACATGAAGCAGTTTAATACAGTTAAGGTTTTCTCGAGCTCTTTACAAATGGCAACGTTTTCGTCACTGAGCAGGTATGGCTATTAACGGTTTGACAGCTTAGTTATTATTGCATATTGTGAAGTGCATGCTTGTGAAGTATTTTGTCTCGGTGCACCTGAGACGACAATGTTCTCAGCATTTACTCCAAAGGTTTTTTTATGCAGATCGAATGTGTTACTTTTATATGCTCCTGAAACGTTCCTGTGAGGAGAAGAGTATTCAATGATTTGGCTTCTTAGTTTCTGCCAGAGTCTCTGGTGTCATGAAATGACATTGACCATAGTGAGTTCCTTGAAGAACATGCTTTATACTGCTTAATGAACTATTGTAATGTATGTCTTGTGAGGATATTGGTTATGTTTGCTATTTGAGGGACGTTCTTCGGAAGCATCGTCACCAATACCCATTGCCACCACTCGCAGTATCCTAGGAAAACATATTGTCATAAAATAATGATTCATTAGTTTCACTCTCAGTTCCTTTCAACCTGACTTCTGAATCTAAAAATTTTGGCTAAAGCAAGCACCTTAGAGATTATAAAGCTAATTCGCATCCCTGCTACTGACGGAGGCTTCAAGTGTATCTGCCACTTCTAGAAGCCAAAACTTCACCTTGTAATATGTTATCCTGATTAATCTTATACGTCACTTACGGAAATGCATTATTGCCTGCATTTCTTTATGCAATACGTCAAGCACTATTGACATAGTTAATATAAATTTTTGCTTTTTGGAAAATGGTGGTAAAATTAACATTTTGTTGATATGTGATTCGTTTTTTACAGGAGTTCCTCTATCAGCATGGTATTAATAGTCCTTTCTCTTCTACTTACTGGTGGGATGGTGTACTGTGATCAAATTGATTCCACGGACTTCCGCACAATTTCGCAACAAGGTGAGTGCATTTTTCATTGATTCGTTCCCAAAGACGGGTATTGCGTTTGAATGTTTGACTAATTTTAATAATTTGAAGAATTAGTCTCTTCAATTGCGATACATACACTATTGAATGGGTATTCATTTTGGCTAATTGTTGTGAGTCGTGACGAACTGTGAGCGGCAACATTGGGAGTCCATTGTGTTGATCTGAGCCTTTTATCTTTTCGCAACTCCAATCTTAGCTAGTACTGAATGATGAGGCTGTAAATAGCGGCAACGGGGAAATTGCAGTTATATGCAGAACAGTTGCCCCTGATTGTTAGACAACTCCGCATGCACAGACGTTCGGCAAGTTCACAAAATCACCTTGACTGCGTCAATACGTGATGTGGCTTGCATTTGTGCATAAGAAGTTGCCTAAAAACCAGGGGAAATATCATATATAGCGCCTTACGTGTTATTTTCCACTATATGATACTCTAATGATCACATCATTTCGACCACCCTGCAAGTTCTAGAAGTGTAACATTTATTCTCAGACACACACGTTGGTTTTGTTGGTGCTATTGCTAAGATGTGAATATTAATTTATCGAACAAAAACAGTAAACATTTTATTTGCTATTGGTGGTTACACGTTGATCAATTGAATACCGTTCGTGCTTCGGGCTTTGTTTATTGGAAATAGAAAACCACATTGAAACATTTTTCTGTAGTTTACGATTATTTTGTTATTACGAAAAACTATATGAAACATAGGATGTCGTATTCATATTTGCAAAGAATATTCGTATTAAATATTATTTTAAGAATGATTAGGAACAGAAAAAAATCATATTAAATGACAATTTTATTTCAAAAAAATTGAGCCTTTTTTAAAAAAAATTGCGTTGAAACGCTACTGTAATCTCGAAATTTGAAACTCTTTTTCACAGAAAATTTTTGAGTTTTCGAAAAACTTCATTTAAAGTAGTGTTAAGTACTTTAACTCACAAATACAACAATGTTTACAAATTGCTGGAAACTAATTTCATAATAGCGGCGTGTGAAATCTTTCAAAAAAATTCAATTTTAGTAATTCTTGAAAAAACAAACTAACAAACAAACAAAAAAATACCCCGAAATGAACTCTACGTCATATTTAAGAGTGCAATCACCACTATGCGTTCGAAAATTGTGATTTAAAATTTGGAGCCGTTTTTAAAAATGTGTTTGAGCTTTTCTGAAAATGCGGAATTTTGAGCTAGTTTTCACAGAAAACGGTTGAGATTTCGAGAAAATGTACTTGATATTAGTTAAAGCATATGTACTCATAAATATAGGAATGTGAACAAATCGCCGCTAATGGAAATATTAACAAAGTGAAAGGCAAGACAAAAAAAAATACATTTTTGTAATTTTTGAAAAAAACAAAACAAAAGAGCAAATCGAGGTTTATGTCATCTCATAACGGACATTTAGCATTATCTGTACGAAACGTTTAGTGAAAAAATTGTAGCCGTTTTTGAGACATTCGTGTTGTTGTAATTTTTTAAATGGCAAATATTACACAATATTGCGCGAAAACTACTAAAATTTTCAAACACGTGTACGTGACCTTTATGAATTAACTCATTATGGAGAACAAATTTCATCTGAAGGAAAAATATCTATCTTCAATTTTGTAGTTGTAGGAAGACGCCGAAAAAATACTTTTGATATTTTCGAAAATTCAGATATAACCGGGAAAATCGGACCAATGCCATTGTCTGTCCGTCTGGTGTCAAAACTAACGCCTAAACCATGAGTAGGATTTTTTTTAAATTGAAGAACTCCCTGTCCATCTAGCTCGTGTCGGAACCAGGGAATTTTGAAAAACATTCTTCAATATTTGCGGTTACTTTACATGAAACGTCGCGGACATTTTCAAAGTTTTCTCAAAAACGGCTCCAATTTTTTTCTTTAAATTTCTTGTTAGCATAGAGAAACATACACTTGTAAACGTGGCATAGGTCCGATTTTCCCGGTTAACTCTGAAGTTTTGAAAATTGCAAATGTATGAAATGTTTTCGGTGCCTTCCTACAACTATAAAATTTAAGTTAGCCGGTCCGGACCGAAGGATTGAGGGTTCGAGACTCTCCTCGGGCATGGTTGTATTGTGTTCGTCCTTTCACCCCCTATCATCATCATGTCGTGTCAGCCTCAGTTACTCTACCGTTACAAGCAATAGTGGTCGATAATGATCTTGAAGTTGATGCGACCTTAAGTAACACACACATACACTCAACATTAAGATAGATATTTTTACTTAATATAAAATTTGTTCACCATAGTGTGTTCTTTTATTAGGTCATGTACATTTTTTTTTCAAAATGTCTTGTAGTTTTCGTGTAATATCGCATACAATATGTGCAATTTTAAAAAATAAATGAAGAATTTCACAAAAAACGGCTCCAAATTTTTTCTTCAAACATTTCGAACGAATAGATCTAATAGCACTCTTTAATATGACGTAAAGTGCATTTTGCTGTATCTTGGGTTTTTCAAAAATTACACAAATGTAAATTTTTTGAAAGATCTCTCACGCAGTTGATATGCACATTCCCAGCAAATTGTAAACACTTTTGTGTTTGTGAGTTAATGTACTTAAAATTACTTCAAATGAAGTTTTTCGAAAACTCAAAAAAATTCTGTATAAAAGAGCTTCAAATTTCGAATTTACAGTAGCGCCTAAACGCCAGGTTTTTAAAAAGGCTCCAAATTTTTCAAAGAGAATTGCCATTGAGAACGAGATTTTACTATTTTTTAATACTCTTAAAATAATATTTCCGTTCTGCAATTATGAAACCGAAAAATTAGGTTGAACTTAAAAAAAATATGTAGTACTTTGGGCGGCGATAGATGGCAGCTGGCAAGAGTATGTGGCACGTCCGAGTAGCTGGCCGAGACCAAAGGAAATGGAAAATTAACACGGGAAAGTCTCTGCCATTCTGTGACACTTCTCGTTTAATCGGGCAAAAGAGAGATTGCGCGATAATTTTCAATTAAATTTTTGTTGCCTTTTTTGAAAAGCAGCTTAATTATTGGTGTTTTGAAAGTACCGAGAAATATTTTGATGCCTGCACAATGACTCTTTGATTCTTACCCACAGAAATCTCCTAAAAATGTACTTGTATTTTCGGAAGAAGACATTGTAATTCTATGATAAGTTGAAATGTTCGGAAATGAAATAAGAAATATATGTTTATTTTATATAATGTTCTAATAAGCTTTGGTTTTGTATAAGTAATAAGATATATTTAAAAGGTGGTGTATGCGATAATCTACTTTTATTTCGAGGGATCTTTCATTCTAATGAATTATTGGAATCTGATAGCTGATATGTCAACCGTTAAATGAAAATTAGATAAGCATACTACTGGATTCTCCTAACATTTTGCTAATAATAATGAATAATCAGATAAGATAAAGTATTTCTTGTTGCTGAGTAAAGTATGCTTGTGAACACGCCGTATAAATTTCACTAATCATAAACCCCTACAAGATAAAGCGATGGCAATGATTTGCGATAATTAACTTAAAAAGTGGAATTGTCAACACCTACTCTGCGAACTTCTACTTTTTCTCACAAATCTGCTTGATGCCGCACTGGGGGTTATATCCGTATTCAGCAGTAGCTCACGGGGCACAGGGGGATATTGTGTCGATGTTTTTTATAAATGATACAAAGCCGTCAACTTTCCCTAGTGTGCCACACACAGAGGAGATAAATCACAGGACAGCAAGATACGTAAAGTTTCAAAACACCAAGTCTGTTTATTTGCGTTCGTCTCTGCGCATTGAATTTTTGTTCTCATGTTTGTATAATCATACTACAAGATACCCGGCGTTGCCCGGGAATTTATTTATCATAATTATCTATTGAATGGACTGACCTTGTCTCGCCGGAGCTTGGAGCATGAGGCCAAGTGCGCGTTACACCTTAGGGGTCGTCCATATATTACGTAACGCTGAAGAGGGGGCCTGAGACAGCGTTACACTGCGGTGAATACGGGTAGGGGGTATTAGTTAAGTGTTACGTAACTTTGATATTATATTTTTTTACATTTTTCGATATTTATTGAAAAATTTCCTTTTTGTGTCCTAACAAAAACATAAAAATATTAACTAATTAATTTGTTTTAAAAACATAAATAAACTAAAATTATTATTTGTAAATTGTTTCAATAAATGAAAATACTTTTTTTTAAATCTGTAAGATTACGAAGAAAATATTTAAAACAGATATGAAGTATTCTAGAATCTATTTAAATTGTCACAGTAGACCCGCGCATGCATCATCCACGATGGCGCGTATGTGCACAGCTTGTGATCAACGATTTCTCGCCCAAGCATTCTTCCTTCACTCACCACTTAGCTCTATCTTATTGTCAGGTGCAACCAGGGTCGCCAACTAATTTATACTTTGTCATTAATTTTAATATTCAACACAAGTAAAATAAATATAAATTGTATGTCTGTGCTATAATTTATTTTCACTTCTTGAATTTATTTCGTCTCAAGCCTTACGTAATTTTAGGAGGTTCAAGCGCGCGTTACGGGTGCGTTATAAGGGGTAGAGGGGCTACTCCAAATTTTCGTTACGTAATTTATGGACGGCCCCTTAAGGGGTGTCTGACGGCCCTCTCTAGCCTATATTAAATTTACTATATTTCTGACACTCAGAAACTACTTTCCTTTGAATTTTAAAATTTTTAACAGTCTATTTTGTAACGATTTGTTATTATACTTAAGCAGAATTATTTCAATAGGATTTCATAACACTGTTTTAGAGAATTTAAAAATATAATTTAAAATAATTTTAAAAGTTAGGCCCATATTAATCCATAATTCTAACAATTTTGCAATATACCTCATTATCTTGGTTAAGGAGCTCAGTCATGTTTACATCTAGCTCAGTCAAGCTATCTTGAAAATTTCGTCCTTTCATCTTTAGTAGTTTCTGAGAGAATGGGTCATAACTACAAAAAAAGTATTTTTGAGGAACGAATGTGAAAGTTAAATTCAAATTTAACTAATAAATACATTTTTTTCATATTTTTTCTTGTGACTTCCTGCACTACATAATGGGTATTTTAGTTAGGACGTATCCAAAGTTTACTTCCCTAGAAAACCGTACTTCTAAATCCATGAACACAGAGAACAGATGTAAACAACCCAATGTTATAAAACTACAACAATAAAGAAGTAACAATTGTGGCCGTTTTGCCAAACAACTTAGAACCTCTTCTAAGTGTCTACAACTTAATACATTAAGATAATTAGGTTGATCAAATAAACAAAAATCAAGATAGTCATAACAAAAGAGACGTGCCCTAGACCTTCTGCAGAGAGAGATTTAAACATTTAAAAACCCATTTCTGTATCGAATGTTTAATAAAGTCTTATCACTGTGTTCAGGAAAGTCTAAATAATTATCGTAGGCCTATGTATCTTACCCCCAACAATGTGTCTTAGCATCAGCATTGTGAAAAAACGGTCGAGAAGGATATTTTGGACAATGCAGAGAAGGGAGGTTTTGGAGTTGGGGATCGCAAAAGCCTCTCAACAGAAAGATCATAAAAACAAACAGTAAAAAAAAAATCTCTTAGGAAATGCAATGAATTATGCACATAATGTGATATTGAAGTAATTTTATTCTCAGACCCGATCCCCCTGCTCTCCCCAACCCGCTTCACCCTGCATGACCCCACTCCACCACGCTCCGCCTCCCTTCTTAAAATTTCTTTCTTTCTACTTTCTGCGTTTGAGCGTTTCTGAAAATGGGGTTCCCAGAAACCGGTTGAGTTTTCGAGAAACTTTTTCTGACATTATTTAAAATACGTTCTCATAAATACAATAATTTGATTTACACACAAATTTTATATTAAGTAAAAATCTCTATCTTAAATTGTGTAATTGTAGGAAGACACCAAAAACAATTCATACTTTTGCAATTTTCAAAAATTTCAGCGTTAACCGTGAAAATCGAACCTATGCCACGTTTACAAGTGAATGGTACTCTATGCTTACAAGATATTTAAAGAAAATAATTGGAGTCGTTTTTGAGAAAATTTTGAAATTGTCCGCAGCGTTTCGTGTAAAGTATTCGCAAATTTTGAAGAATGTTTTTTGACTCGAGTTAGATGGACAGGGTTTTCTTCAATTTGGAAAAAATCCTACGCATGATTTAGGCGCTAGCAGTGTTCCCAGACACCAGACGGACGAACGGACGAACGTTTTGAAAAAAGGACACTTTTTCGGTATCAGGGGACCCCAAAACGTGTATTTCCGCTGAAATCATCATCATCATCATCACCTTCTTCTTCTTCTTCTTCTTCTTCTTTTTGTTGTTGTTGTTGTTGTTATTATTATTACTATTACTATTATTATTATTATTATTATTATTATTATTATTATTATTATTATTATTATTATTATTATTATGTGAAAAGTAGTTTTGTTAGGTGGAGTGCTGTGAAGGCTTGCGCAGTGAAATTATACATTATTTGTAAAGTGATTTATTGTAGGCCAATGTACTACTACAAGCTACGTTTTTTAATCAATTTGTGTAATTTTGGTTCCTACATTCTTTTGTTTTCAGTTATTCAGGGCGAGTAATGGCGTATGCTGTATATATGTAACAAATATATTATTATTATTATTATTATTATTATTAATGCTATTATTATTATTATTATTATTATTATTATTATTATTATTATTATTATTATTATTGTTATTGTTATAGTCACTTTAGATGGAATAAATACACTAGCGTGTTCTATTAATATTAGCAATAAATAATTCCTTTACCATTTTGTTCTCAGAAGCATTGATTCCCATAGGGTTTTTTTAAATTTAACTTTTTCTTTTGAATTTCGTCACATCCGGTATGTATTCGGAACTTTTTTGTGCATTTCCAAGAATCGAAATGTTGAAATCTCAGGAAATCATTTGCGATCAGTAAGCGTGGTCAGTTCTACGGCCGGGTGGCGAGGTAGGGCGCAATCGCGGGACCACGCGCAATATAGGGGTGTCCAAATACACGCATCCCAATTCTGTCGGTTCACAAATTTGTTTTTTTATCGTTTGTATCCGGAAAAGAGTATATTTTTCTTCGACAATACGTATAAATATCCTTAGCGCTTCGTCTCACTTACAGCACGTTGAGTACGTTATACTGTAGAAGAAAATTTCTTCTACAGTATCACGTAGATCATTATGAATCTGCTGTACAGAAACGAAGTGGTTTTCAGCAAAATGACCTAAGAAACATTTGTGAATCTAATTGAGGAGAAAATTATGTGTTTTTAATCTGAAATGACTCATCTGTATTTGGGCAGAGATAATTAATTGCCCTTATCCTTTTTTCAGATCTACTTACTTCAGCCCACCAATTCAATGAAGCAGGTGTTACATCATACTCGCAACTTTTATTTGATGTGTCAAGGAATCAAGTATTTGTGGGAGCGAGGTATATAGTTCTCAAAATATTATCTTTGCCTCATGAAGTTTCATGGTACAATTAGCTCTATTAATATTTTAATTTTAGGGATGCTCTCTATCGACTATCATTATGGAATCTAAAACTACTGGAAAAGGCATATTGGCCTGCTCCTTCTAACAAAACTTCTTTATGTCTGGAGAAAGGACAAACTGAAGAAGATTGTCATAATTACATCAAAGTTCTCCTTACAAATGGCAAATATTTATTTTCTTGTGGCACAGGGGCTTTTTCTCCAGAGTGTTCATGGAGAGAAGTAAGTGAACATAAATATTTTGCAATTGCTGTATACAGCTGATAATTGAGGCGCTCGGGTATTAATAATGATACCTCAACATCACGTTTCGTAGGAGAATGCAGAGTAATACTACTGTTTACACGAAACAACTTTCACAAACTATAATGTACTAGTTACCGTTCGTTCTCTGTTCTTGAATTCACATAGAATACGAGACAGAGAGAGAGAGAGCTACTCGCTCTCCATAAAAACAATAATTTCCGATTCAGGTACCATTTTATATACCCGAACGCCTAATTCAGAGGGAATTGTTCAATATATTGTTAATTTAATATTTTCTGTTCATTTAGATGGAGAATATCAATAAAGTACAGGAATGGGTGAAGGGAGTGGCTAAATGCCCATTTAGTCCAAAATCTAATATTACTTCACTATTGACAATGGAAGGTCAATATTTTGTGGGCAGTCCTATGGATTTCTCTGGAACAGATTCAGCCATTTATCGAAGTATGACTCCTGTTACTCTACGGACGAATCAGTTTAATAGTAAATGGCTGAATGATCCAGATTTCGTGGGATCTTTCGAAGTGGATAAATTTGTATATTTCATTTTTAGAGAGACTGCTGTAGAATACATCAATTGTGGGAAGGTAAGAGTTATGTTAATGACTATTTCTTTTATCAATCAAAATGCTACTATGCAATGGGATAATTACCACTTTATATCTTCATTTTGATCTCATATCTGGAATGATTGCACTGAAGGTCTATGAAATTTGCCGTCATGTGAAAACATACTATGTGTATGTATCTTGACTCGCTGAACACGAGTTTATGAGATCTAAAATTTCGAAAGATCAATAATAAACACATATACTGAAGCAGTGGTTCAATAACAAGTAGTGCAGCGATTGTTCAGTTCGTTAATATTTAATTTCAGAAAAATCCTTTTCAGGGATCCGTCGTAAATAATGTAATTCCCCAAATCTCTTTTCTTTATGGAATTCTCAACAACAAAAATCGTAAAATGCCCAATGACTAGCTTTTACATAGTCCTTCTTCAAAGGGGTAGCCATTCACGCTCGGGATACGTGGAAGTTTTTTACCAGTCTGTCGCATTTTGTTGAACTGTACCCCGAATGCACCTCAAGACGACCAGTTTTGCTCTTTTGCGTTAATCGCAGCCTGTGTTCCCTGCGTGGCAGCTGGTGCGGGAAGAAGGGTTGACCAGCGAGGGCGCATCGCTACCTGCGAGTGTGTATTGTAGACCGGATAAAAACACCGGTGGCTCGCAGATAAGCGCTGGGCCTGTGCTCGCCAAGTAGGCCGTCTGGAGAGGACTGTATCCAAAAGCCGCATATGCTAACTAAGAACACGTATCCCAAAGCAAATTTCGTCGCTGGGTTGAGGTCACAGACTTTCATGTTTGCTCGGAAAAAAAAGGGGGGGGGGGGAAGAATGTCAAAATATTCCTTTGATTCTGATAATTATTAAGTTTACTTGATTTGATGGCTGATCAACGAAAACTTTGCATTAACTAATGTTATCGGATCTTACAAGGATACAGTCAAAAATCACAAAATTCTATTGTTTCCTTTGCGTTTGGGACAGCAGTTCAGAAGTCAGGAATAACTTACTAATCATTAAACATAAGCCTGTGAAAGGGTATTTACAAACATATAAGAAAGTCAGAAGCCTTTCGTGAACAGCAAAAACTAGTAATCCTCCCACTGTACATTAAGTTAGGGAATAATGAAAAAAAATATGTGGAAGGTCATGAGCGTAAAAAGGTTAAGACTTTCAATACTTACAAATTTCCTGCCATAAGGTGACAAAATAAGAATTTTTAATTCACCCTCTTATTTAGTTTGTAACAAACAATCGCAATGTCTTTTGGATTGATCACAATTTCTGTTGACCAACAGTGCGAGGAGAGTGCTTAAAAAGGAGTTAAACTTAATTGAAAATAATTGCTGACAATTATCTTGGACCAGTAGAGAAAATGCTTGAAACATACAAAGCAATGTAATCCAATTTGTCTATTGAGATTCATTTGTAATGTTCCCATTTTTACCTTTTCCTTCCAAAACCTCAGCAGGGCATGAGGAAACATTGCATTAACAAATCCCATCTATGGGAAATGCCACAAATGCTGATGGTTACCCATTTTACTAGTTGACTATTGTTGGAACATGGTTTTAAAATTTTGACAGTCCTGATACAAGAAGAGATATTACAAAAACGTTTTGAAAGTATGTGTTTTTAAAAATAAACTGTAGGAAATTTTACTCTCTTTTTCAAGAAAATTAGAAGTGTGTTCCTGTAGTGAGAATTTAATTAATTAATTTATACTTAGGATTTAATTAATGTACACAAAGGATTTGTTAATTTACATATTAAGTTTTAATGAGCTAATTAATAGTGTTAATTAATTAATCCAAATATAGCCAATCTGGAAAATATATTCAAATTTTGTACTTCCCAGGAATTGCATTTTGTAGCGAAAATTATGTGAGGGTAATAAGTGTCTAAAAGTGGAGTTTTGTAAATTATGGAGAAGCAAAACTTATGCTAGTAAATATGATACTTTATGTAAGTTTGGAAACATTGTATTTGTGAAATTTTTATCATTTTTATAAAAAGTGGTACATAACACAAACAACTACGCAATTCATTAGAATGTTGTAAAACAAGGTCTAGACTCGAGAAGTTATCTTCTCATATTGTCACTGACATCTGATAAATAAAGAAAATTGTCTTGAGAAAATGACGATGAACAATAATCTCTTTCTCAGTATTGATTATATCATTTTACTTTTTCCATTATATGATCTTGGGCTAGTTTTAGCTCTTTCCTTCAGTTTCATCAAATGCCCTCTGAAATTGAAATAAGTTAAAAAATCCTTTCCAGGATATACTTCAGCCCAAATGTTTTTCATTTTTAATTGTGTAATTTAAAATTGGAAATGAAGTTAAATCTTTTTATGAAATTCTTGTAGACCATTTTTGGGAAGGGGTGCTTCGTAGTTTGAGATATTTTCTTTGGACCAATAGTTGCAGTCCTTTCCATTGAAAACTAGCTTTGATGTATGTGATGAAATATTGTGCCAGAGACATCACTGACAAAGCAATGCTCTGGAAAGGAAACACTCTAGAAGCTGGAAAATTTATCTTCAAACATATGAAATAAAGTGGGAAAGCAAACAAAGAGAAAGAAAGAGAGAGATTTTTACCAAAGATTTTCCATTAAATATATGGTAAGGTTGAAAGTATTCATCACTAATATTGAAAATATTGATTTTCATGCCAGAACTTTGGTGCATCTTAAATTTTTTTAATAGATAAATGGGGTGCTTTATGCACTATCATTAACAATATAACATTTTGATAAAAGCATCATTGACCTTACATCAACTTTATTTTGAGCCATTTCATTTTAGCAACTTATTTAAATCCTCTCAAAGAATAACTAGTGCTACAACATACTATTTATAATGGTTATGTATTAATATAATACTGAAAATTGTATCCTACAAATAGCTAAGCGTTCTCTTCAAAAAATGAAGCTATGGGATTTGGAAAATTATTTTTGGAAATTCAAAATTTATGATAATTGAATTTCTGTCATCAAAGACAGTGTATTGTGCTCTTTTCTTACCAAAAGTTCAAAATGTTCAGACTGTTTTTAAACTTGAATGCTCAGAATGCAAGGTTCTTACCCCCGTACTACCATGGTTCTTATTTGTTTGACCTGCTTCAAAGTTAAAGAAAAAAATCAGAGCTTGTTAATAAGTAAATTTAGTTTGCATATCTTTAGAACTCAACTTTGAACTTATGAGTAAAAACAATTGAATTTTTAAATTATTTTTTAAAATTTTTGTTTTTTTAATTTTGCGTCATGTTGAGAAATAAATTACATTAATAAAATAAATGTATAGCTTCAGTAATGTTGATGTAGAAGATGTTAAAAAATGGACTTTTAACGGTGTCAAAACTTCAAAAGTGTCAATGAAAATGACCTCATTTACCATATTTACCACAATACTGTGACGTATTAGCCAGCGTGCCTCATGGCATCTATTTGGGGACGCTTGGTAGAGGATTAGCCCCGCCACAGGAAGGAGAGAAGGGTTTTTCCGTTAAGGCAAGAACGCGGAAACGGGAGACACAAGGCTTTGGAGCCTTCCGGCCTTTAGAAACTTTTCACTGTTATAACAAGCGAGGGGGTGGCGTGACGTAGTAGGTCACGTGAGCCTCGCCTATATAACAGTGTACAGAGCCAGTGGGTGGGTTCTGGAGACAGTGGGAGAACCTCGTGCGTGTGCACCAAAACTTGGCGCCACGACGGTGCATATGCGAGCCAAGCTCGCGAGGCTCGAGTTACTAGTTGACGAAGCCTGCGGACTTTAGGTCCTTGGGTGACTGCGGTCACGGGGGAGCGATGCTGTGTGCGTGCTCCGAGGTGAAGAGTGGTTGAGTGCCACGATTCACGCCGATTCTCAATCGGATAAGATCGCTCCTTCGTTCGAGGCAAACCAGCCGTTGATGCGCCAGAGCGGACTTTGTGTCCCAGCGTGACATCCGGTCACGGAAGCTAGGCTTTGTGCGCGCTTCAGAAGTAGGAGTCGCGAATGCCACAATCAAAACCATCTTCAATCGGGTTTGAATCGCTCCCGCGATCAGGGGATAGTAGGTCTATCAGAGCTAGGGTGTAAGTAGGATATTAAGTGTATATATTTGTTATGTTTTCTTTGTTAATAAATATATTGTTATATGAAAGCTCTGTGTCTGTGGTCACTGTGAGTATCCATGACGTCACAATGCCATATTAATAACTGTATTTTACTTTATTCGTTTAAAAAAAAAAACATGTTTTTAAAAAAAATTGAGAAGTCTTAAGAGCAACATGTAAAGTACAACCACAAAATAAAAGATTGAGATCACACAGATTGATGGGAGGAATACTATTATGGGGGAAATCCTGTGTACAGTGAAGGCACTCATTCAGGGATGGATGGACAGATGGTTTGAATCAACAACAAGAACACTTTTCTGGTGTCAAAGAACCTTAAAATATTTGTTTCTGTGAAAAGTTGGACTTGTCACATTGCATAACTTTTTCCACACTATAAACTAACATATGAGAAAGTATGAATTAATTTTTATGAACTTATCAATAAGATTTAAGATATATCTTAGTAAAGATATAATAACAGGAACTTTTTTATAGATCATATATTCCCGAATTGCCCGCGTTTGCAAAAACGATACTGGAGGACAACTTATGTTAAAAGAAAATTGGACGACATTTGTTAAAGCTCGTCTTAATTGTTCTCTTCCTGGAGAATACCCATTTTATTTTGATGAGATTCAAGGAATGTATTATTTAGAAGAAGAAGGGCTTATTTATGCGACCTTTACTACCCCAAGGTAAAGTATATAAATTTTTTTAGAAAGTGTAGAAAGAATTGAAAAAAAATACTTAGTTTTAATGTGATAAATGGAAATATATCAAGGTTTTAAAAATGTATTAAACAAAGTAGACATAATGTATTGCTCATTCATAGTTAATGTAATCATTATTTTATTACAGTAATAGTATACCAGGTTCTGCTATCTGCATTTTTAACATGAGTGCTATATCATTGGCTTTCTCCGGACCTTTTAAACATCAAGATAAACCTGGCTCTGCATGGGAACGTCATCATATACCGCATAGAAGTTTACTCGAATGCCAAAGTTCTCCTCATGCTCACCAACTATTAGATATATCTCTGTACCAATTAATGGACAGTGCTGTGCAACCTGTTACTTTATCCCCTCTGTATACAAGTGAACTGGAAACACTCACTCATATTGCTGTTGATCAAGTGGCCACGAAGTTGCATAGGTACAGTAAATAGGTTGAATAAATCTGAAATGAACTTGACATGAAAATAAATGTGTACTAATGATTTATATTTATTGAAATTCTTTGTTGTCCCCATTGAAATATTTAAGTAATTGTGATCAGAATCAGTGCTGGTGATTGTTGTCATCTCAGAGTGGGTATTTGACCCTTCCCTCGCCATCTCTCACCAAAAATGTATATCAAGGGAAAAACAAACCGAATTTTTTCGAACTGTCATGTTTATTATTAAATTGTCATTAAAATGTTATCGCATTTATATGTCTTCACATTTACTTTATTAAACTTCAGCAGTTCATTTTTGCAAAGCAAAAACAATGCTGCGCTTTGCTTTTTTGATATAAATTCATTTAACAATTCTTGCCAATCGATTTTGTCAGTCATCTTGCTATAAACTTGTAAAATGGCAAAACTGTTCAGCCGTTCTTGCAATATAGTTGATCACACATATGTTTTGAGTCAATGCAATACTTAGAAACTTTGTTAATTTCTGGACTTTGACGTTTATGAAATATTTCTCTCACCCCAAATTTTGAGTGAGTATTTTACCCGCTCAGAATTTTTCGTGTGGGTATATGTACCCACTATACCCACATTATTCGCTGGGCCTGATCAAAAGCCTTCAGGCAATAACATCAAAGAATGGATGTAAAAGAATTGATAATGACATACAATTCCTTTTCCGAATGAACTTTTAATTGTAAGTGATGAGGCTTTCTAGTATTCATAATTATTGTAATTCCTATGAATTCATGTTTTCCAGATCTGTTCATGTGCTGTATGTTGCTACTTCACGAGGTTTGATAAAGAAAATATCAGTTTTACCTCGTACGATGGAAACATGTGTGGTAGAAATTTGGAAACCTTTTGAAGACAGTTATCCTTCTCCAATAAAAACACTCCATTATCTGAAAGAAACAGTGGGTATTAAATTTATTAAGTATTAAGCATTTATAAGAATGTGTGTGAATGAGCAAATATGTCTATATTTTCTCAATTGTAATGATTTTCTCCCTATCTTTAACAAATGGAAGCTTTCTAATCTATAAATTAACATTTTTTCTTCAGCAAATATCCTCAACCTTGAGGTCCACAAACAATACTAGGTGAGAAATTGGCACACATTTTATTCAAATTAGTATTGACCTCGTGGTACATTGATAGGTTCCATTTTTTAAGGAATGAATTTATACCTTGTTTTTTGCAGTAATATTTTATGGACTCTGTGTTTATTAGGAAATAAGAAATTGCTTATTGGTCCATTGAATAATGTTATAATAAATCAAAAATGAATAAAAAGAGAAATGATCTTTGTTATATTAGTGCAAGTGTTATTTTACTGAAGATCAACGCCTGAAATATATAAAAATTAATTGTACCAAATTTAACAATGTTTTATGGCTAAAGCATCAAGGATTGCTCACTGGAATAGTTTTTGTCAACCTTTTATTCAAGTAAACTTTTCAGAGTTTTGAAACTGAAGGAATTTTCAGATTTTCTGGATATATATCAATGGTACTTTCACATTACACATTCCATTACATAATTCTGTTATTAATCCTGAATTTTTTCATTGTGATATGATGATTCTTCCTTTAACATACTTACTACAATACTCTCTGTTTCACTACCTTCAGTGTAAAATATTCTTAATTTACTGTGGATGAGGCTATAAACTTCTTTCAATATACTGGCATCCTATTGGCTTCTATGATTTTTATATCCATTTTCTTTCCCCTCAGTTTTTGCATCTGAAAACATTTTCTAATTATTGAACAATTTAACAATGGTTATGAAGCTTTTGAGATAATATTTCCACAAATAACATTTATTATACCATACTACATATTACATGTTTCAAGAGATTTTTCATTGTTGGTTATGGGCTATAATCAAATTAATTTGAAAATTAAATAAACAGTTAAAGAAAATTACAATTAACATACAATTAAATAAATGGAAATATATACATTATTAAAAGTAGAATTTGACTTTCAGGGTACACGGTCAATTTGTACTTAATTTGTGATGTGTCCAGGTTTGGATAGTGTGATGCTGCCTTGATAAATTATAGTCTGTGTTATGTACAATTTAATTATAATTTATTTAATTAATATAATTATATTATATTTATTGTGAGGTAAGTTTCTGAAATAGATTGAAAGTATGTTCTCCCTTCTTCAAATTTGGAGATTTTTCCTATGTGCCTGTTCTAACAAACCTGAAATAAAATTGATCCCAAACTTATTGACTGTACTGTTGACTCCAAATTTTGGCTATAAGTTTGTTAAAACTTTGAAGTTCACTTTTTGTTAAATTATTAATATTCTGTGTAATTTTGTCTAATTTTTTTCAGAATTCTGTGTATGTCGGTGCAGACTTCACACTTTTACAAATAACAGCTCATCACTGTAACAGATTTAAAAATATGGTTGCATGTTTGAATGCTATGGATCCATATTGTGGATGGAATAATTTAAAAGAAATGTGTACTCCAGCACCTGATGGAGATCCTTTGGCAAAGTATTGGCTTCAGAACTCTACTCAGTGCCCTGTTCTTACTCATCCAGGTATTAATATGTAAATAAATAAGTATGATTAAATCTTGAAATTGAATGATTAAAATGTATGATGTGTTGTAGATTAGACACAAAACTTGGTTGTGTACATGTGTTATTCTCTACAAATGCACATGTTAATATTGACAACTATTACATAACATGTTATAGTGTTATATATATAACTATAACATGTTATTTATTATTGTAAAGAATGTAATTTATTGTGAGGAATAAAGAGTTATATTTTATTGTAAATCACTGTAATATAATTGCACGAGGTGGGAGGAAAATGGTAAAGCAATTGCAGTAAATGAAATACGGAGGGAAATGTAGTTGTTTGGATAGAGAAGAATTATCGCAATTGTAATGTTATATTAATTTTGTCAACCAAGGGGTATCGGAAGAGACTTTTACGAAAATGATAATGATATCTTGACAAAAGACACAAGGAAATGTGAATTAGAATTATTAGCCTAACGTCTCGTAACACTTTGGATATCAGGAATCCTGATCAGATGAAAGAGTGTGGCCAATGATCGTTACAAGAAACAGATTCAGAAAAATCACAGGGATACCATGGTTTTGCTAACTGTAAGAGAAAGGGAAAGAGAAAAGATATCCATATGTAATCTGAAATATTTAAATATCAATATGATGAAAGGGACAAGATTAGATTGGAAGGATAAGGATCCTAGAAGCCAGCTGTATTGCAGGCAGAATGGCATTAAGTATGAAAAAACGAGATGAAGTGAATTGAATTAAGGAAGGGAGTGAGATAAGTGCTCTATTTATCTCTCACCCTATTTAACAGGAAGTATTGGCCAAAGTCTCATTAAAGAAAAGTATTGGGACTGGAGCAAGAAAAATATGGTATACTAGTTGGGTCATGCAAACTTTCCACACTTTGTAAATCATTGTTTAAATGTGAAAATAGCTTTATACTGGAACCCAACTTGAAACACCCAGGAACTGATCTGTGCATTATGCCTTATGGACTGGGTACTGTGCATGGATAAACAATTTAAAATTTTTATACAGTTATTAACAGTTGCGTACCAAAGGGGGATGGAAGAGGAAGAAAACAAAGAAACAAAATTCTCTCTATTCAGCAACCACCTCCCTAAAAGACCAGTTTTTTCATTGAATCAACAACAGTGATTGGCATAATACAACTTTCACTATATTACGTAAATTTTTATATTCTACCTGTTTCTGACCATCAGCACTATGGAAAGAGGTGCCTAGAAGAGCTAAACGTCCTAAAATGTAAAACCTGGTTCAAAAAAGTTTTGTGACTCAGGGTCCTGTGGGTACCAAAATATTGGGTTAATGGATGAATGTTTCTGTGTTATGTACATAATCAAGGCAAATCAGTATAATACGAGTGGTAGAATGCGTATGCTCCTGCTGTTTTTAACATTTTATTGCATACAAATCTTAGTTGTTTTTTATGCAACTGTGTTCAATTAATTTGTCAAATACCCTGAATTCGGACACTTCCAATGACTGCTCTAATAACATGACTGCTTAAATACCGTGATTATGTAGGTTCATATCTTTATATTTGGTAAAATCTTGTCAGAATCCTTGTGAAATAATATAAAGAGATAAGGTTTGCAGACAATATGGTCATGCTTATAAAGGGTATTGAGAAACTAATTAGAGATGATTATTGATATTCCTAATATAATACTTGTTATAAAAATTGACAGACCAATAGTTTGTTAAAATGTTCAATTTGTAACATAAATTTTAATTGATAACACAACACAAAATTGTAATACTAAAATATTTTGAGAACTTCCATTTTTAAGTAACTCTTTCCCTTCCTTGTTCGGTTTCTTGAAGTTGTGGGAACCCCTTCCCTTCACTAAAGTGAAATTTTCTTTTAATCACCCTAAAGTTATATACTTTAATTGGAGTGTCTTCCTGTATGCAGCAGAGACATGTACATTGGTACATACGGAGCAGAGACACAATGAAGAAAAGGGATGAAAAAAGACAAAAGCATTTTGAATGTGTTTGGAAACAGATGGAAAGAATGAACTAAATGGATAAGGTAATTGAAGGCATTATAAAAGGTGAAAATGAGGAAAAAAATATTATTGGGCAAAATAAGAAAAGAGGAACTGGATAGGATGTGTATTTTCAGAGAGCAAGAATGAATATTGAGAATAGCAAAAAAGGGCTTTGTGAGAGGGAACAGAGGAGGTAAGAGGCAAATATTAGACCATCTTGGGGGAGAAGGAAAATGTAATGAGCTGAAGAAGAAAGAAATGGACAGCAAAGAATGGAGTCTGCAGTAGAGCAGAATACTTAATAATAATGGAAATGCATTTCTGTGTTAATTTGGAGTAATAACTTTCCATTCTTAGTGATTTTCCTTGATCTCAAGATAGTGAGAAATTGTTGAAATAGTTTTTCAAAGATAAAAATTAGATAGGCTGCATCTGAAAATCGAAGGCTTAAATTCCACATTTGTTTTGGGTTGGAATAAAGGATTCAGTCAAAATTATTATAATACAAATAAAAATAACTGCTGAACTAGTAAGATGATACATTGTATGATGGCAAATGAGCATTATCAATGATTTGCATAGAATTGAAGGAGTATGTTATTGCTAAAATTGTGCTTTGTATTTTATATTTTTAATTTGTTTTTGTGATATTTTAGAATGAAGATAATGCACATCTTTAACATCATCTCTACTTCTTATTATTTACTATGTTACAGTTGATGGTGGCTGGAGTAGTTGGTCTAATTGGTCTCCATGTACTCATCTCAACGATAATGAAGGAAGTTTATCAGACCACGACAAATGTTTGTGTAGTACTCGTCAGTGTAACAATCCTGCACCTCAAAACGGAGGAGTTTCTTGCAAGGGCATGTCCATGAGGGTTACAAACTGCACTGTTCATGGAGGTTGGACGTCCTGGTCAGCATGGTCTGCTTGTTCTCAAACATGTGGCACTGCTGTGAAGACAAAAAGAAGGACCTGTGGTAATCCTGCTCCAGCCCATGGTGGGCGTGTGTGTGTTGGTCAAGATCGTAGTGAGATCTACTGCACATCGAATCCACCATGCCCAGGTAGATTTCATGTTAATTTTCTGAAGTTTTGTTATAAAAGATTTTTCCTGCTTATGCTAGTTGCCCATTTGAGGTGTGTTCCTCAAACATAAACTAGACACCGACTCATATCCTGAGTCATGAGGACAGCAGACCTAGAGGTTCTCAGAGACACAGCACACAAGAAAGACAACTATTTGTGAAAGACTAGCATCTGTCTTGAGTGGGATTTGTATTTAAGTCTTTTGAACAGAGGTACTTCAGTGATACTGAAGATGCTGTGTCTGTGGCCATATGTACTTATGTTTGATAAAAGGGAGATACCATATCCTTGGCTGAAAGGCCAAGCATTTTAACCCTCATTTTTTGCATCTTCAATTTTTGAAAATAGTCATTAGCTCCCTGATTGCTAATCTCTTAAACTCAGGTGCCTCATCCAACCAGGATAGCTCACAATTAGAAAACCATTGCTTTTTATACTAATTCATTTTATGTACTTATAGTCCAGCTAATTGTGTTGTAAATTAATAATGAGAAAAGGGTAGTTCAAACATAATGTAATTTAATGTTTGTTTATTTTGAAATTGTATTGATAAAATACTCTAAAAATTGTTTATTTCACATCTTGCAAAAATTCCTTTAAATTGTCAGATTGTTTTTGTATTTAATTATTAATTTTTAATTTCTAATGAAAATATTCAGTTTCACATTATGCATGTTTTAAATTTCAATTGATCTTTATCTGAAGAAGATCCTCTCTTGCAGTGCTCACGCCTCCACCACGTGATGGACAATGGGGAGAGTGGGGGGAGTGGAATACCTGTTCTCAAGCATGTGGGGGTGGATTTCGTGTACGACGTCGTGTGTGTGACAGCCCCCCTCCTGAAAATGGAGGACAAGATTGCCAAGGATGCCATCTTAGCTATGAAACTTGTAATATGCAACCTTGCCCAGAAGGAAAGAAGTATTCTTCATGGACACCTTGGTTGCAAGTTAATAACACCCCTTCTGGAAATGGATATGTGGAACGAAGATATCGTTTTATGTGTAGAGCTCCTGTAGATGTCGCAACTATCAGAATCACTCAAACTAAGGAAGAAGAGAGAATATGTCATTCTAATGCCAATTGCTTAAAAATAGGTATGTATTGGTAATAAATATTCAGTGAATCATAAGATGAAATCAGTAGTCCAAGAACCGCATGCATGTTTAACCATTTTAATAATATTATTGCCCTAATTTTCGTTATGAAATTTATTTTAAAATCAGTCTTATGGTGTTTTATAGACATTTTCTATTAGAGAATGACTGTAAATAGGAGAAATGGTTTAATTATGAACAGTCATTATCAAAAGAATTAAGTCATAGAAGACATGATCTAAAATAATTTTTATTTCAAACGCAGCAGTGAGTTGTTGCCTGTCAGTATCAAGATGTTTGTGCATCCTTCTCAATTTTTGAATATTTTGAACACAATACTGTACACACATTTACAGTGGTTGTAAATTATATATTATTTAAATCATGAAACATGATACCAAAGCAATGTTTACTGTCTTTTTGTGCAAATCACATTATTTTAGAAGCTATGACCAAGGAAAGCAGAGAAATTTTAAGTTGTATTTTGTGGATAACACTGCATCACAAAGTAAAAGTTAATGTTTCAAAAAAATTTCTTTTGAGAAAACTTTTCCTGAGTTAGAGAAATTGTTTGCATGGATTAATCTGAATGAGAATATGTTTGCTTCATGACTTGCTAAGAGTATTTTAATGAAAAACGTGAAATTGAATAATTTTCATTTGTAATCTTGCATTGATGAATGTGACATTTACAAATTCAAACTCTGTGAACATTTAGAAGTTTTCTGCCTTTTTTTTTTCTTTTCTTTTCGGTTTTGCTTAATTAATCTTTAGTTGTATCTATAAAATATTGTGATGTTGTGATGATAGGCCCTTGAAACCCATCATTTTTTCAATTAAAGTTTAAAACAATGAAAGTTAAAATGGCAAATATATGTGACATTATTAAACAAATTATTGTTAAAATAATTTTATTATTAATTAATTGAAAGTACTAATGTACTAAAAGTACTGAAAAATTGGCTCAAAATGTTTAAAGGTTTCAGTTGTAATTCTGTTTACAGATTTCTCTTTATGAGATAACAGTACACAAGGCTTCATTATGTCAAAACAAGTTTTCAATAATGAATTTCTTTGTATTGGTGTGTGGTCTCCAAAGCAGTTGTACAAATCATGGGTATTTTCTCCAGATATATCTCTTATTTCAGAAAAAACTGCCAACAGCCAATGTTCTGTTTTCTTATTGTCAAGTAATTTGCATGTAATCTACCCAGCTATTTATGATACTATACTATACTATTTATGTAATAGTGAAGAATTGTTGTAAAGAACTGAGAAGCATTGAAAAGACTACAACAGCTCTTCCTTTCTTCATCACAAATTTTTGCTGTGCAGAATTCTTTGATTTGTTGTTGAATGCTCTACAAATTTTGATTTGCTACAATTACTATAATTATGCTACAATTTATAATCCATTTTTCTCCATTGTCTCCTCTGGATCTTAGCCATTGTTTTACAGCCATGTTGCTCTAGCTTCGTAAATTTTTTATGTTGTTCTGGACACATTCTTGTTTTGGGGCATAGACAAAACTTAGTGATACAGATCAACAAAATATGTGAAACAATTTGTAGGGAAAAAAATGCAGCACACAGTTAAAATTTTCTTTTACTTGACACTAATGATTTAACATTCTACTGAAAACAGGCAGTTTGCAAGCATCCTGGATACACACATTCAGCATTTTGGTAGCATGAGATTGACTTAAAATATGAGTGGGGGGAAATTCAGGTTTCTATGTATGCCAATGCAACATACACTTGATGAATGCATATGGCAAATTATCTGTTGACCAAGAGACTCATTGAATAACTCTAAATCTTGAGAACAGTGAAGTGATATTTCAGTGATACAACACACAAACTTAGAGAAACTTGTATTTCATGTACAAGTTGTCTAATCTCCGTACTTACCTTTTTAGTTCACATCTTTTTAGGTGACTTTAAGAACCCTAAATTCCGCAACTAAAAATAATACAATATATACCTACTTTATACATATATAATAATACATATACTAACATAATATAATTTTAAGGTGTTGAATATAGAAGATAAAAGGAAGATTGACTTGTTCCATTAACTTTTAACAGAATCTGATAATATACTTAACAGCTCAAAATGAAAACTAACACTATTAACTTTAACTATTGCTTGGATAAGTTTTTAACTGAAAAACAATATTCTGCTCTACATTATGTAAGGAAGGCTTGTCTTTAAAATAATTAGCATTAAGTATATTACAAAGAATCTAGCCAGGTAAGGGGAGGAAAACTATCTCTAGCCAAAGTGAAGAAAAACATTTTGACCAATAACTCTCACCTCAATATAATTATTTGAACTAGTGTGGAACCACACGCCCACCATGTGTACGTAACCAAAAACATTAAATTTGTTTAGTGCCTTTATGATTAGAATGTTTTGAAATGAAAAAATATAAAAATTAATAAACATATGTTTCGGGGATCACTAAATATACTTATATTGTTAAAATAGTTGCCAGTTGTGAATTTCACTTTTATTTTGTGTGAAAGGGGGAGTACACGTGCAAGCACACTGTGGGGCTCTGCAGGCATTGAAGATCCATCATCATGCGTCAGACAGTTTTACGGAGTAGTACACTACAAAAATTCTTGGTGTTAAGGCACTGAAAAAAATATACATTTCAAAACTCATTTTTCATTACATAGGTGGGGTTAAAGAGTTGGAAACTAGTTGAAAGATATTTATTTTTGGTCGTTATTTTTATTCAAAATATTTGACATTTCACTCTGTGACAATTTTGACCATCTTTCCTGGCTGGATCCTTTGGTAGAAATGAGAAATGTAAAATTCAAATGACTTGTTGGGATTACTTAGGAAAGAGTTTCTTTTCTCTTTCCTTTAACATCTTGAAAAAATTAATACTATAATAGAAATGTTCTAAAAGAAATAAAATAAAAAAAAAATACCAATGCTTTTTTAGAGGCTCAGAAATATGTGCTTAAATTTTTCAATTTTTTTGGCTTGTTTTGTAGCAATAATTCTTCTACAACCTTACCTGTATAGTATCCTCACTACTATCTATCACTCTGGATCATTGAATGAATATGAATGAATTTTACTGATGGGTTTTAGGAATGAAAAAGAGAATGAGCATGAGGTTTTTTTACCCTATGAAAGCATGTTTGCATGTACAGATTTCTCTGGATTATTTATTTTTGAAAAGTAGTTGAAAATGAATGCTTTGTATTTTGTAAATTTTCTGAATTTGTTTTGAGATAATCACTTTTATACGAGATGATTTTGTCATTCTTTTTTTGTATTTCAAATCCTTTTAAATTCGCATGACCCTTGAACTAGATTTTTCATTATTTAACTGATATCTCATTCTTTAATATTTTGTTATTTATAGAAGGACAGAGTGATCCTGATGAAAGATGGTCAGAGTGGTCAAGTTGGTCATCATGCTCTGCTGACTGTGGTGGTGGACAGCAATTCAGATCACGTTTTTGTAATGGTCCAGAAAAGTGTGAGGGGTTGTCACATATGTCACGACAGTGCAACACTCATAAATGCAATGGTTAGTATTTTCACTTCTTCGATAGTGTTATTAAAATTTTGAATTATAAACTTTAAAGTAAAACAATGGACTAATGATTTTTATTTAAAGTTTTTAACATTAATAATTATTCGGAAAATATACTGACTTGACTCCTAGAGCTCTTGGGAATGGCTTTAGCCATCCAGGATTGGCCATTGCTTTTAATGTGTGGGGGATATTTTTGAACCAGTTTTGGTTTAAATTTTCTTAGTGAGTTGTTATTATCATTACATATGTATTTCATTTGACTTTTCTAAATTTATAAACAGAAAGTAGTTCATTTGTACTGCAAGAGACTATTAAAAGAAGAAAATAAATAAATGAAATAAAGAATTGTACAAATGCAAACAATCATTTTGAACAAATTGTTTCGAAAATCAAAGTGCATTGTACAAAACAATGAGCTTTAGATATTTATTTGATATTAACTAACATAAATACTGTAAATCTGTCTTTTTCTCTTATTATTTTCTTAAATCTTGGCTTGGGGTTTAAAAATGTACTTATTTAACACATTAATATGCATAACATTAAGCCATCATATTTAACAATTTATCTTTTTTTGGCCTAAAATCCTAGAAAATTTTTAGAATTACTTTTGCATAATATTTTCGCTCCCTAAGTTAATTGCCATATTGAATAGACAATTTTAATTTATAAAAACTGATACTTATAATGTATTGATTTGGTTTTATATACATCATTGATTAACCACAGTTTTTCATTCGGGAAGGACATTATGAGAAATATTTCTTATATTTTAAATGGACATATAGAACTTGTTCTCAAAAAAAAATGTATTTGCTATTTTTTAAGTGTTTAAAGTGGTAATTTTTCAGCCATCATTCAAAGGTAGCATGTTTCTTTTCCCTTGGAGCTAATTTATTTTTTATTTCAAGATTTTGGCTGCAGAAAAAATCTCCATCTGAGCTCGATATTAATAAATTTGGATTCAATACCTTTAGAAGTGGAATAATTTTAATTATTAAATGTACTGTATGAAAAAAACAACTCGGAATGAAATTGATCTTCCTAGAAGAAATTTGAACGGCTTTGTGATATTTTGACTGCACATTATTACTCTTCGATATAGAACAGACCATACCTGGATTTTGATCATGGAAAAGATGGAGAAGAAAATTCTCCCCAATGCCAATTCTGTTTGTTGCAGTGGTTTATGTACAATGATTGCTGAAATAATCATCCACACCAAAATGAAAATAAAAAAAGTGTAGTGAAAGGTCAGTGGAAATTAAAATTATGTCAGTGCCAAGCAGAATGCCATTTGCAACTATTATGGACATTGCCTTTGCTCTGTGATAATGCTAAGAGCATTTATCATGTTTGCACTACATTGCTTGCAAAAATTTCACTGGAACATGGTAGCTGCAAGAATACAGGCTTTGAGCCTCAGAATTGATTGAATTATTGGAATGCTGCATCAGAGAACGCAGTCTAAAGAACCTATAATATAATATTTTATTTAGCATGAAACACGTTTGCATGAATACAAATGCATGGCAACCCACCAGTTTTTTCTGGGCAAGGGGAAACTGATTCTAAAATGAACAAAACGGATAAGGTACAAAGTTTCATTGAAAATAAGATGGGACTTGGGACATATTATTCATCCATGTGTGCTAGTAACAGTATAAAAGCTGATAATTTTTGAGGTGGAAAATCAGGATAAGACTTTACTAATTTTGTCTCAATACATTTTTGGCATTCCAGGTTTGAACAGACAGACTGACAAACTGACAAACTGACAGCACCTCCAATCACTTTTCAGAGACCTGTCTTTAAAAATGCCATTAAAATATCAAAATTAACTTTTTTGATTTAGTGTTCTGTACATATATGACTAAGAAGAATGTAATGTAATATTATTTACTTTTCTTGAACAATGTTGGGTATACAAACACAATTGTTCACCTTAATTTCTTCATTTATTTTTTGATGCGAGGAGGTTAAATACTTTGTATTAAAAACCAATTATTTGAAAGATTTTAGTTGACCTGACAGTATATTCTACTGCTCTATTGCTCCTTTCTTTTAGACTCAAGGGTGTCTATGTTTGGTTACCTATAGATACAAGATGGAAGCTCTAAAAAATGAATTTGATATTGAGAAACCCATACCAGCAAGGGGTTGAATTTTTAAATTTTGTTTATGTGAAAGAGTTTTGAGTATAACTTTTTTTCCTTTAATTTAAATTTAATAGTTCTTTGGGTATTATGACCCCGAAGTAAATGTTATTTAAAAGTGTGGTTTACCACCCAAGGTGGGGCAGAGTGGAGCTGAACCAAGGGTGGTAGAAGGTGAGTCTGCAAAATATTCCTCTTTAGACGAGGTGTATACACCTTTTTTGGTCACCCACAAATAACTATTTATAGTTGTAGATTAACAAAAATATTCAAATATTGATAATTTAAGAAAGGATAATTATGTGAGTGTAAATATCATAGTTGGTATACGGGTTGCATATATATTTATATTTTTTGTGTTGTGAATGTAATCGTTGACTGCTAGCAATGTTTTATTTGTTATTTAAGGTTTAGCTACATTGAAGCTTAGTAGTGTATTGTTGAAAAGCAGGAATATTAATGAACACACCACTAAATTTAACATAATAAAGAAAAGTGTACTGATAAACCTCCATTATCTGGTTAATGACAGGGAAGAGGTCCATGGAAAATTCTGATAATCATAATGTTTTATTAGTTCAATCGTGATAATTAAAAGAAATATTAAGAAGAAATGTTTTTTAATAATAATAGTAATAAACATATTACAATTTTTAATATTAAAATTAAGTACATATTAAGAAATAAATTGCATATTATTAATGATTTCTGAAATTATGGACCATTGACATCCCAGTAGATGAGATTGTTAAGGTACAAGTGCAGTAGTGAGCTTAGTTCAGCGGGTTGTGGGTTTGAGTCCTAGGTAGACATAGTTGTTTGCCTGTGAATCGTGGCATGATTGACTTTCCACAACCCACAAATCACCCTTCCAATAATATTTCAGTCCTGATCTGTGCTGGTGGCACAGGAGCATGCATGTGAGGCATGTACGCTGTACACTCGGTCTGTGCTGGTCCTGATTCCCTTTGCATTGTGGCATGATGGGACAGACCAAACACCTCACATCAGCCTAGAAGCTTGGATCCTTTCCCTTCAGACATATACATGCTACTTATTATGGGTTACCTTAGCTGAGATGGCCTCAGAGGATACCTTTACAGGCCCTCTTAAACATGAAAATTAAGAGGAGGAGGATTTTTGAAAGTCGATGATGGGATGGTTCCCAAGCCGTCACCAAGTACAATAGATATTGTACAGGAAGAGACAGACCATTGTCCCGGGAATCAATGGATTATGGAGACTTAAGAGTTGTCCTGAGAGGCTGATGTGTCCTGATCCAAAAATATGTATACGTACAAACATTCTGGACAATCAATGTATAACAGTGCAGATTTAAATACTCATTTCTTTTTTAACATATTCACATACAGTATTTTGGGATCTTATATGTTCCCATCTTCAGGTATGGTGTGAAAACTGTTATATTGAAAGTTAACTTGTATATATTACTTGCAAAATATTTATAAAATGAGGGAAAATCAGGATAAAATTAGGTAGAAAAAAAATATAAGCAAGTTATACTCAAAAGTTCTTGAAGTATGCAAAAAATCTATGTAATTGCCACTTAAAAATTCAAAATCTTACTAGCAAGAGTTACTAAATTCCAATCTTGTTTCACTGAGCTTTCAGCTTGTATTTGTGTTAAGATTTGGGGCAAAGCAAAAAAAAAACAACTTTGCCTCAAATTATGACCACTCCTTATGTACATACCCTGTATTTACAGATTTAGAATGAAAATAAAATGGAAAAGGTAGGGAATGGTACCATTCTAATGCACTTGACTGTCCAGTTTTAGTAATTATTTTTTTCTAAATGTTTTGTGAAGATAAAGTTATTTATAATGCATTACAAAGGAAACTGTTATAAAATAATTTTCCAGTGTGCATGATAATTGTTTATTAATTAATAAATTATTGCAGTCAGTTCAAGAAAGTTCAAATCAAGAAGTTATATCTATTTTATTACTTATTTTATTTGAAATTTGACAAAGATGTGGATAGAATGAATTAGTCCTTTTTACCTGAATGACAGAATGAATATCGAATTACCTGATAGAATGAATTAGTACCTTTTAAAAATTCAGGCATTCACATTTATTCATGCTGGATCTATTACATTCTTATTTTAAACTATTCATTTTATTACTTCTTTATTATTCTATTCCAGTAGGTGGGTGGGGAGATCCACCCACCACCTGCACCATTGCATGTACCATTGCAAATGCTTTGATGAATGTATGTATGTGCACTTATGTAACCATATGTAAACATGCACAAATATTTAAATATTCAATTTCATTTACAGAGATGCATGTGAAATATCATGTTTTTAAGAGTTCGCAATTACATCACCTCTTATTTAGAGATGCAGTGGTAGCCTATTAGGCTTATCATAATTGTAACATGTGATAAATTGAAATTATGAAAGAAGATAAAAGCTCGTTGAGGGAAAATTCTACTGCTGTCCAAGGATGAAATGCTGAAACTTCTAAAATATACTTTTAAGACACTTTTAAGCATATTTTGTCTAATAAACTACTTGGATATTCCAAATGGCTAAGCTGCAATAAACGCAACACTGAAAAGTTGGTTTGTAAAAATACTTTCTTGCAAAAATTTGCATTGCAGAAACATATAAACACTCCAGAAACATGCAAATGGTTTATTTACAACAAAAATGAATATATTTATTCAGAAAGAAAAATTAACTTGGGAGTAAAAAAGGACCCAATTTACACAATTTGACTCCTTATTTTATTTCTGGGTTAATTTTTCTTTTTGAACAATTATATTCGTTTCTTTTGTAAATGATAAACAATTTACATGTTTCTGGAATGTTTATAGGCTTCTGCGATGCAAAGTTTTGCCTAGAACGCATTTTTCCAAACCAACTTTTGAGTACTTTTTGTGGCTCAGCTATTCAGAATATCCTAGTAGTTTATTAGACAAAATTGTCTTAAGAGCTTGTTTACAAAGTTTTGATGTTTCCTCCCTGGACATCCTGTATTATATGCTTCTGATTCCTTTGAATTTCAGTTAAGCAATTACCAAAGAGAGAATGAGTATGATTGAATTTTGCCCTTCAAAATTAGTGAATTTTATTTGCAGAACACATTCAGAAAGTTCTAAAGTAGCACTTACTTATTTTCTCAGCAGTAAACATATTAAGAGGGTTTGAGTAGATTCAAAAGACGCGAATTGTAGAATGAAGACATTCTAACAGTAGCGAATAAAAAAATATAGTAAAGTGGAGAGGAAGTGTTTTGTGAATAACCATTAGAAAGTCATTAAGGTATTTCAAATGCCCAGTTTATGATGTAGTGGGATGGACAATATAAAATCAATATTGAAAATGGAGTTGTTTTCCCTGTGAATTGTTGAATATTGTTTTCTCATTGGCAGAAGTAAATGGGTAGAATAATTCAGTTCAGTACATTTTTTATTCATGAGACTGTGCTCTGGTCATGGTTATTGGCAACCTTTTAACATTCTTCCATTAATGAGTTTCAAACACTTCAAAATCTAGATTCCATAATATAGATTCAATGGCATTGGATAGAATATTAAGCTAGTATTCATGCAATATTATGTGGACCTGTGTTTCTGAAAGTTTTATGTGAACCTGTGTGAATGGGGTTTCCTAACATTCAATGACATATATAACATTATATCTCTGTAATATGAAATTTCTCACTCTATGTTTTTTGGGAAAAAAGGATAATTTTCCATCTCTCTGCCCTAGAAGTTTGTGACATTTATTCTGAAACATTGTGTAGAACCTTTCCCCAGTGTGAAATAATATTTTGTCATTTACTTAAAACACATTTACTTGGAAAAGTTGGAAGTCCTTAGATAGTTTTGTGGCAATAGCTTTGTTTTTTATTTCACTTTTGAGTGTAGATATGAAATGTTCTTCCACTTCAATGCATTTTCATTAAATAGTTTTGTTTTGTGGTATCAACTTTTCTCTCCCCTCCCCCCTTGCTTTTTTAAAGTAATGCAACTTCCAACATCATATTTACTTTTGATCCATTTCTGCAGCTTCTTGTCTGATTAAAAAAATCCTTTTGAGACTGACTCATTGGGATCACAGTCATAAATTAACATGATCCAATCGAAAAGTTGCCTGGAAATCTTTTATAATTTATGTATTAAAATTGCAGCCAAGCAGATGGCAGTATTTTAGATTTCTTTTGATGGTAGTATTACTTATAGGTCAAACATGATGTTACAAATAGAAAGGGAAATACCATAGATTCCTTTATTGAAAATTTCAATTTACAAAGCTATTATTGCGTCACACAGCAGAATTCAGTCCTTGAAAAGTTACTTCAAAATGCTCATTTGTTTGATTTTTCTTCTGAAAGTGTAAGATTAGTCCAAAATATATCTACATCCTATTTTTTGTGCTTGAAAACAAAAAGTATACTTTCTTGATACTGTTTCTTTTCTACAATTGAAAGGTTTAAATATGTTTGTGATGATACTATGTGATTTAGTTCTTCTCTGTATACTTCATTACTTGCTCTGGATATTATATTGATAAAAAAAGCCTTTTTTGCTGACAAAGTCTCCAGTAATTAGCTATGTTTTACAGAGATATCTGTTAATTAAGGAAAATTAGCATTGTTGGCATATCCTTTGGTAATATAGCATTTTATACTTATTTATAATAGTATTTTATACTTAATGAAAAAGAAAACATGTACAATCAATCAACAAGTTTTAAATTCTGTGAATTGGATCATAGGAATGGTAGGCCTAAAAACTGCACTGTCAGGTGCTTTGTCTCCTATTGAAGTGCCTTTTATAAATTAATTTACTTTTCTCATATTACAAAATTCTGATAATAAATAATGTTGGAGAATGTTTACATTTTGTTGTGAACGTAATAGCAAAGATTAGTGTGGCTTTTATCTTATAACGGTTAGCATATCAAACTGTTGTACCCAAATTTGCAGGTTCAAACACGATCAAAACCTTGGATTTTGAAGGGTGATAATATGCCTTCCTTCAGAGGGCAAGTAAAACAGGCAGTCCTATGTTGTAGGTTTGCTGCACTTAAAAGGTGTTCTCATGGCTCAGAGCGAAGTCGCTCACCTTTCACTAAGAAGGTCCAGGTTCGATTACCATCAATTCCCGGACAAGCTCATGTGAAATTTGTTCCAACAAAACGAGTCTTCCTGCTTCACCGGGGCTAGTTGAACCTCTGTGAAGAGTCCTAAACCCTACACCTTTCCTGATTCTTCCCAATTCTGGCTGCTGGATAGTGACGCAGGGGCATGTGGTGTAAGCGGCGTGTACGCGGAGATGCTACTGGCGGTCCTCTTGACAAACTGACCGTCGCGACGAGACTACATAAATACAGCGACCTGTGGAATACAGAGGGATGTTAATGGAGGATTAGTCCGAAAAAAGCGCTCAGCGCTGTATCAAGGGCTAAGAGATACGTTACGTCGATTAAATAATGAATAATTAAGACAATACAATGCAACAAATTAAAAAATATTCAAACCTAAAAGAAGCTTCTAAGTTAAATTAAAAATTGCGTGTTTTGTTGCTTGAGTTCTTTTTCCACTAAATGGTGCAAGGAGCATTGCAAAATTTGTGTGATCAGATGGAAAAGCAGGTCTCATGGTCTGAGTGTCACCCCGTAAAATAAAGCATCTTGGAATTGAATTGAATTTTGAAAGATTTACTTGAAATAAAGGACATAGAATGTAAATATCTGCAATCAGTAGGGGAAGTTTTTAAGTGTTTTTCTTGCACAGTTCCTTATGGGAGAGATGGGAGATTAATTGGTAATAAAAGTACACAAGTTGTTTTTGATAAATGAAAGTATTTCTTTTGTACTGAAATGAGCCTTAATGTTTCTCATTAGTCTCTATTGGTACTGAATAAGATATTAATGTGTTAACTTTTTATTAAGACATGTAAGAGAGAGTTGTCTGTCCTTTTTTTTAGCTGAATGGAGCTGTTGGTCAGAGTGGTCAGAGTGTTCTGTGTCCTGTGGCCAAGGAATTCGGCAGCGGACTCGTCACTGTTTGATGGCAGGAAATCATATGCATCGTGGTACTAATTGTGAAGGTCCATCAGTAGGTCAGGAACATTGTGAAGTTACTAGTTGTGAATGTAAGTTCATTTATACGAAAATATAATACACTGAATTTAGATTTAAAATATATGAGTAGGAAATAACTAACTTGCTATTAAGATTTCATGTGTGTTGCTTTTATAAAATCACTCAATTTGAATGTAATAAATGATCCGAAGGTAATTCATGAACTCCTACATCAACCGATCCTTCTCACAGAAATATAATTGTATTTAGATATTTATTTTGCCTTTGAGTTCAAATACAGAGAGAACAGATAGTGTTTTGCAAGAGAATGAATGACGAGAGGGTTTAACACTAGCAAGAGAAGGCAAGTAATCCTACAAAATGAGAAAAAGGTTTTAGTGGGAAAACTTGGCGACATTTTAAGTGTGAAAGGACACAAATTAATAAAATGTAAAAAATAAAGGACACACTTTCGAAAGTTTTGAAACTGCTGCTAAAATGAGATGTAAACAAACAACTCTGCAAGAATTTGTTTGTGAACAAATGTGTAAAATCCAAGTATGAATGGATTTGTCTATATTTTATAATTCAAAAGTTGTTTGTTGAAGTTGTATTTTGTACTTTAAGGTAATTCAAAATATAGCATTGAGAGCATTTATTATTTTATAGCAATTAGCATAATTAGACTTACTGTACTCTTCTAGTAACCCCATAACTTTGATTATTGTCCGAATGAAATTTCAGTCTACTTGACTGCTGGGGATGGGGTACAGAGATGTTGCCACTTACTTGGATGGTTGACACATGGTCATTCTTGCATCAGATCACAACAATAGCAACAGAAACAAACAAATTGCAATGAGAGCACACATTAGACAACAGAGAACCACACACACACAGAGAATAACCAAACAAGTAATGGCACCAAGTGACACTCTTCAATTTTCTGTTACTTAGCACTGTAAATTGTAATTTTTTCTTAATAAACATCAGTAACTCTGAAATGACATCAGCAGAATTTGAAGCCTCTGGTTGGATAACGGAACCCCTCTCTCCTGTCAGCCACTAGCTGTCAAGTAGAGAGAAATATTATTTGGACAAAAGGACAATTTGGCTTAAGACAGGTTTCACTGAAATTTATTTAGTAACTGTTTCTCAAGTGAAGACTAGGTTAGGTTAAATTTTTGTCACTTCAATATCTTAGAGAATAATTTTGATTAATGAGGTTCTTTGCTAAAGCAAATTGTTTAATTGACTTTTGTAATTATTTTAGCCTTACGTGGTTGGGAATCATGGACAGTGTGGTCATTATGTGATGCTAATGGCATGCAACATCGTCAAAGGAAGTGCCAATTTCCAAACCCAGATGAGCATTATTGCCAAGGCTTGGATATGGAAACACGTATGTGTATTGATGATGGAAGAGGTATGATATTAAAGATCTTTGAAGTTACATATATTCAATTGTTGATATTTAATGTAAAGTCTTACAAATGTAATATACTTTCTCTTTCACTCCTACAAAGTTTATGTTAACTCTTAATATTATAAATGAAAACTCTATTGAGGTATGGTGTCTTCCTTTAATATCTCTAACATTACTACTATGTTGTACAATTTTATAAATGAAAATGTAAGTGTAATGTTGAAATGATGCAGAATTCATTGCTACTATTTCTGATTTAATTTCACTGTTGGATTGTATTTTCAGAAATAAATGATTTGGCTATCCCAAGCAGCTTAGATGCAGATGCAGCCTCCACTATACCTATTCCTGTTGTTTTGGGATCATGTGCAGCAGCCTTTACAGCAGGAACTGTTCTTGCAGCATTGTTTTGCTACTTTTTATTCAGACAGCAAAGGTCAAGGGTTCCTGGTAGTCCACATTATATTTCTTCAAAACAGAATCCATATGTGACAGTTCCATTGAAAGAAGTGGGTTCACATGCTCGAAGAACTTCTTCACCAGTCACAAGTAGTACATGTTCGAGTAGTGGTGGAAAATCAGCTGGTAGTGGAACACCAAAGCTTTTTACAAAACCTAGTGAATATGAAACAGCGACAATAAAGAGAAACAGTCATAGTTTAGCAAATGGTCATATTCGGATGGATTTAGATCAGGATAAATTTTTTTAAGAGTATGATGTTATCTGTCTTGAAAAAGTGTGTCTTCAAGATGTGCTTGTTGTGTGTGTGGTTACAAGAAATGACACTGTTGCTTGTTCTGTTATTTTATTTGTGAAATTTGACATTTAGTGTAAATGTTTTATGTGATGTGAATGTGATGTTTTGTTATTTATATACTTTTTATACAATGTATTTGACCGAAGAGTAACTGTGGTATAACTGTAGAGTATCCAAAGCAATAGTAATATAAGAATGATTTCCTAAATTAAAGCAACACAATTTTTTACTTTTGCAAAGCTTTCAGCTGTGTAATAAAGACATTCAAATTGCTGTAAAATATAGTGTTGTTTTATTATATAAGCTGTAACTGCTATGAAAACTTTCTAGTAGGGAATTTTGAACGTATTGCTCACTAATTCATTCCTAAGAGCTTCTGAATAGTTATTTCGTTCAGTACATGTTGTACTGTTGTGAAATTGAATATATGTTTTTGTGCATAATTTTTTGCACATTTGTTTTGTAGAAGGTGTTTTATAAGAACTTACAACAATTGATATGTTCATAGAATGTGCTTTGTCTTCAATATAAGTAACTCTTGTGAATGACATTAACTTGAAAAATCAGAGAGTGAAAAAAGCTAATTGCTTCTTGCTTCATTAATAATACCAAATGTTCAAATGTTGAACTATTTTTATTTTTGTGCCAAACACAATGCCATTATAATGCACTACAGTAAATACTGAAAATAAAAGTACTGTTGAAAGGTCATACATCATTTTCTTGGTACAGCACTAAGGAAATGAAATCTATTTTGTTTGAGGGTAGAGTATTTGAACAAATGAATATTTTTAACATATTTTTTGGAGAGTCATTTAAGCTGTTATTCTACATCAGTATAGGTATGATGTAAAGAATTCTATTATGAAAAAAGATATGGGCAAAATTTCTGAAGTGAGTTATAATATTCAAAATTCAAGGATAGTCCAAAGTCAAGAGCTTAGTGGTTTCTGCCACTAGAAATCAAAGAATAATTTAATGCCCGTTTGTAAATGAACTTTTATGATATCTTGTGATTTTGAATGGTTTAATGTCACATGTACTTTTATTTTTAGCCAAAATGACAGACAATTACATCAATAGGAATTTTAGATCTCACTTGGTTCTTTTGATAGGTATGAAAGTATTAAATGAAATGTTAAAGCCTGGAGATCACAAACATAATTATTTATAAAATAAAACTTTTGGGTATTGTTATCCTTACAGTCGGTACGGTTCCAAAGTCACATGAGGTGCGGTGTATCTGGGACATATTCTTTCTCTTCTTGTGCAATGGTCAAAAAGTTTGAGAAAGTAGAGGCAACAAACTAGAGCTACAAGAGGCAACAAACAACTTCTATCAATCCATTTCCTATTCCACAAGTGAAATTACATTAAACATTTTTTTAAGAACTTTGTAGTTTGAGGCTTTTGTCTACTTTTGCTTTTACAATTTCCACAAGAAAGGGAACTAGCATGTTCTTTTTTCTTCTCTTTGAGTAACCATATGGACTTTTTAGCATGTTTAACTGTTTTTTACTTCACCTTTCTTGCTCAATTGATTTAAAGCACGTATTTGTGAGAAATTTCCATGGATTGTGATAAAATGTATCATGTTAGATACATAAGCACAGTTTATCTCATAGATCAATTATTTGTATATCTTATTTTTCCACTCAGCTAGATGTCAGTTAAAAGAAGTGAAGGTAAGCGACAATGGGACACCTAACAAAAACCGACTAAATAGCTTCTCCATTACAAGATGAGAACTACACTCGTTTCAAACTGTTGATGTCTCTGATGATATCAAATTGACTGGATGTGCACTGCAGAGCCTCTAACTGCGAGGTCCTAGGGTTCACGTCCTGATAGTGGCAGGATTTTTGACACTAGCTACATAGCTAGGTAGAGTTCAGCCACTGTCCAGACGAGAATTTTAATGGCCAGCTGTTCTGATGGTAGTTTCCTATGGTTTCTCTGACCAACACCATGAGAATGCTGGAGCAGAACCCTAACAAATGGGTCACAAACCATGCACACTCTTTCCTTCCTCTTCCTTGTCCTATTCTCAGCCCTTACTTACACACATTCACACTTACATACACTACACTACCACATATGCCAGGAGACCAGTCGGGAGCTTAGTTTGCCCCGGCTGGGGTGGTGCCTCGCTGGTGGCAAATTTGTAGGTGGGGAAAACTTTGCAAGCTAATGTGTAGGTTGGTGCCGGATGTGGCCATCCAGTAGGAAAAGATCACGGCCACCTCCTGTGATAAAACATGCACTACATTGCGAGTGTATTGACTTAAACCATTTATATTCCCAGAAACACTAATCAATCAATCAATCGCATCGACTGGAGGGTTAAATGGCATGATAAATAGTCACAATACCATATGAAGCAAAACAGTGACTGAAGAAGGCAGTACATGTCAATGAAAGTTAGTGAGAGTGAGACACATGTATAAATAGAAGAAAATGATATGAAATTCTTGCTGATGCACAGGCTGTACAAATGGAATGAGACTGTATAGATTAAGTGTGAAATGTGCCTTAAAATCGTAATTGTCGTGTAGGTATGGAGTAAAGTAAATGTGAGTTGTGTTAACTTTCGAAACTTCTAATTTTTGTGTATACTTGTTTGATTTTGAAAATGAAATGAAAATGTACAATATTGAAAAGAGAATACACATTCAATATAACAGTAGCATACTATGTTGTAAATATTATTGATTTAGTAAAACAATGTTCTCATAACCACCTAAGCAGTTATCATTATCAGCAGTTTAAATTTTATGCATTCCAATGAAGCAATCTACATGACATAGATGTTTTCAGTAACATATTGTTGATTTTAGTGTACCAAAAATCTCATTAGATGCCATAAACATATAGAGCATTTTCATAGTTGTAAGAAAATATTCTAGTGATCACAATATTAGTTAGCGTTGTGCATCAATAATCCTATATTGTACTACTTTTGGGATTAATTTGATGTCAAAATCTATGAAGACTATTATAAGATTATCTGACCAAATATATTGCATACCATTCCAAATTTTTTATGAGTGATTAGTCAAGTGCAATTTTTGCAATGAAAACAATAGTTTGCTCAGAATAAAGGTGATGAAAAACTGAAATAATTTTTGTTTTAGAAATTGGACACCATATGTAATTTCATTATTTGTAACTACTTTATTTTTAAAAAAATCAACTTCATTAACATTAACTGGGAAATTTATATATTAGTGTTATGGTAACTGAAGTAAATGATAGAGTTTCCTACTTGTGGTGTATAGCAAAATATAATTTCTCCTTTTATGTTTAAAATTGAGGAAACAATTTAATAGATCATACACTTTTTGTGTTATCAACTGTGATTAAGATGAATGTATTTATTAAATAGTTATTGTGACTTCCTATGTATTTTCACAATGTCAGTTCAGTTTATTACACAGAAATTAATGTCTTATAGCTCATGTTTTCATTAAGTTTTTCAACTTTTTTTTATGTGCACATACCTGAATAATTTTTTGCATGTTTGCCTAATAAGTGGGTTAGCTCAAAAGCATAATATTTTAACAGCTTTTCAACTAATTTGTGCTACATACGATAAAGTGTTTTTAGTACAAAGAGTAGTTTTACATTTCATATCACAACATTCTGAAAATCAAAATCAAATTTGTTGATTTTCATTTTCTGAAATTAAAAAAAAAAAATTGTTCTTATTCATTGTAAATCATATGTAAAGAAAATTGAATCATTTATGAATGTACCGTGATCACATAAATGGGAGTTAAGTTCAGTAATATCTTACATGGTGTGACCTTGTCTTAATTTCAGTGTGCCAAATCCTAGTGAATTTTCAAACATAGTCTAATATGATATTTTGTGTAAAATGTTAAACAATTGCCATTTAGAGTATGAGTGGTGTCACAACTAATTGTTGAATTTTCTAGGTATTTTGTAAAATGGCAGGATGTGTAAAGGTGGTAAAAGAAGGTCAATCAGAAAACTGGGAAGTACTATTGAAAAGTTGCATTGTTATTTATACAGCAGAGTGTAGTAAGTGTTTCTATTTGAATATTACTGTGTTAATGTTATAAATGATTTATCTGCAAATTAAAGGTAGAGTTTTTATTGTACATAATATTCTACTTCATTTTGAGTGCTTAATATTGAATTAGCACTCAAGTTCAGTAAAACAGTCCTGTACATTTTTTAGACAAATTAATGTCATTGTTTAATATTTTTATCTTTGATAAAAATGACTAATAAATTTTTAGTATATGAAAAATTATTTTTTCATTGACACTTTATAAAAATATACTGTACTGTGTATTTTTATCATTTTGTTTTCCCACAACATACCTCCAAACCTCATTTTTCACACATAATTTCAAGAGAGATGTGGTAAGGTGTACTTTTATGGGGGAGTTATGTAATACCAATAGAAAAGTATTCGTGAACTTGGATCCATAAATTAAATCTTTTTATTCAGTGAACTGCAATTAATTTGATATTGGATAATCCATTTGTTCATGTTGAAAATTATATTTAAACTTATATTAAAAATGGGTGACTTACAACTTTTTAAAGTAACATTTGGAGAATTTCAAAGCCAGATTAATATTGAAATTTTTTAACAAGCCTTTAATGTGCCTCCTTGCAAAGCTACACCTCTTCTACATTGATGTATGCCACTGTTGTTAAGGGGGAAAGATTGGGATGTACTCTCCACCTGGCAGCACCCTCGTTTGTGGGAAATGGGTTGGGAAAGAAATGGATATATCACAAGCAGTCCATGGTCCGTTGTATGAAGTGCTGCTTCCACATTAACTTGGACATGCTCGGGGAAACCATGAAAAACTCAATGGGAACCATTGAATTATGTACTGGATCCTGGTAGACACAATTTACTTCCTGATCACATTAATCAAATATCCACTGCAAGGCAAGAATTGATTCTGCTACCTCCTATCCATCACCCAATTCCAACTCAGGGTTAACTTCATGCTCGCTGAGAATGAAAGGAAAATGAATGTGATGAAAATTTCCTGACTTTTTAGTTTTACAAACAATCCTTGAAATTCCATTGTTTTAGAATGAATGTATTTGTCCAAGAGTAGAAATTTTACTTTAATAAATGAGAGCAACTTATGCTGTATTGGATGGATTCTTGGAAAATTGGAATACATTGTCTCAATTTTTATACTCTTACACTTCACTACGTTATTACTCCATGCTTAAGTGTGGTCATACTGTTACGACAATAAATGTTGATCTCTTTTCTATCCTTGTTACCATCAACTTCATCCTCACCTATTCCACCATCTCTTATCTCCATTTACACCCTTTCCACCACCACCTCGATTTCATGATCCTATTGGCTACCCCTGTCACTCTTACTCCTGCACCTACTTCCTCCCTTAAGTTTTAATGCATGTCCTCAATTTAACCTTTGTTGCAACTGCAAATCACCTTCTACTTATGATGTATAGTAACTGCACTCAACATGAAAGCCCCCAACACCTAAAACCAAATATCTCTATGTACAGTCTTTAAGAAAAAAAACTACAGATTAGAAAATATTATTCCAACAAAACCTTCAACATGTAACAGTATTATTCTTGACTAAAAATTGGTTAATTCAATAACAACTTTATAGGATGTGCATTCCAGAATTCACCCTAGGTAGTGGCTCATGTAGACAAACATGCAAATCAGATTGTGCATATGGGGATATTGTTAAAAGATAATATTTAGTTTATATCAATAGAAGAATATTCCCTTCTCATAAAAGATAAAGACTTTAAAATATATATCATAGTATTACCAAAACAATAAACCTGTATTTTATGTATGTTTCATAGCCCCAAAGAAAATGCAAAAATTGTGATTATGTTCTTGTTAAACTTAAATACACAGCTACTATAAAATTACATTATTACTGTAGTTTCAGTATTAACTGTTAAAAGATACCTACAAACAAATATAAATAATATTTATTAATATAATACAATATTTTAAAAAAGAAAGTAGCACTGCCATTGACCAAGCAATAAACACAAATAATGGCAATTATTCAGTTGTTACATTCAACAAAACCTATGTTGATCACACATCCCAAATGCTCAAACCTGAATTGGACACAAAAGTTCTTAAGGAAATATTCTATAGAGAAACCCAAAAGTTTTCCTCAAGAAACACACTGGCGTCATTAGCTGAATTGCTTAAGGAAGCTAGGGAACTTGAGACACCGTGGATGCCTGGATGGGTGACCATCTGGGAACCCCTGGTGATAAAAGACACTGAATGACTGCGGTGTGACAACACAAAACCTTAATGGAGTATTACTCCAGATATGCTCAATGCCCAAGAAGGTCTAAGAGAGCATTTCAATATTTGCAAAGATGCAACAAATTAAAAAAACAATTAACTCTCATAAATGCAGAAAACTGGGAAGAGGTGTACAAGACGATACACACAATTAATAAAATTAATTGCTTATAAACGTACTCCTAATTAGTTAATTCCATTTTCCCACTGAAACTTAAGAAAATATAAAACATCAAATACACATTTTGGATAACTAAAGAAATCAAAATATCATATGATAGGAAATGCAACATGCATGAAATAATTCTTCACAACAAATGTGGTTCTGATTTCATTGCTTATTTCAAAACTCTTCAATTTTGCAGTTTTGTAATGTTAACCTTTTGCAATTGTCGAAAATGCGGAGAGTTCGCCGAAAATGAAACGAGCACCATATTTTTTACTGTCCCTTGATACATATATATATATATATATATATATATATATATATATATAGTATTATACGAGTTGCTCTACAGCTGCTCGCCGTTTCTCCGCTCTCAGTTTCACCATGCCTCTTTATGGACCAAGAGACATCTGGCATTTTTCTCTTGCCGGGGTTTTCAGTAAGGGGCCTCTTGGGCAAACTTTTCCCTGGCTGTGCATGCAATTCTGGGGGTCTTCCTTCCCTCTCTTCTGTCTTTGGTCCGGCACCCATTTCAGAACTCGTTTTGGCCATCTTCGTCTGTCATTCGCCATAACATGACCGTACAGACGATTTGTTTTTTTTCCTCTATTTCGTCAAGGATAGATTTCTTGACATCCATTTTATTTCTTATATCTCGTTTCCTGATTCTGTCACCCTGCCTATAACACAGCTTCTACGCCAGTAGTCCATTTCAAGGGCCAGCAGCTTCCTTTTGTTTTTTTATCTGATCTCCCAGACTCTGAACCGTATGTTGTAACACTCTTAAACTAGCGAGGAGTAAAGACGTCTTTTAGTAGTGTTAGTGATGGTTTTGTTCATAAGACAGAGTTTTACTTCGTGTCACGTTTCTCCCAAGCTTATTCGTCTCTCAATTTCGTATGGCTATTCCCTATTGTTAAAAAGTACACCAAGGTATTTATATTTGTTTACCCTTTCATTTTTCCTCCATTTCACAAGAAGATCTTCTATTTCATTTTTACCAACTGCCAGGTATTCAGATTTGTCCATATTAAATTTTAGTCCTGCTTTTAAAAGTGTTCATTGAGTTTACGGATCATGAAACTCAAGTCGTCTGCATCTTTGCAATTCTATCCTGGTCATCGGCAAAATATAACGTAAACAATTAATCTCTCTGATCGTCATTCCATTACTTCTGCATTGTTTCCCATGTGTAAAATTTGATGCAGATTATTTTAAACAGTGTTGGAGAAAGACAGCAACCCTGTCGCAGACTTTGCTGACTGGGAATGGATCGTGAGAGCCTGCTGTAGATCTTAATCTGAGAGTGTTATTCTTTATATAGATTCTGTGTGGCTCCAATTAAGTTTTCACTGATTTGAAGTCCATCCACTTCTTCCCATACTCTAGCAACCGATACATTGTCATACGCCTTCTGAAGATCAATGAAACCCATACGAGGAGAAAATTAAAAGAAAAAAATTGGAGCGGTTTTAGAGAAAAAAATGTTTAAAAAATTTAAAAATTGTCTATATATCGTACAAAATTACGCTTATAATATTCACATTTTCGAAAACTTCAACATGACCTTAAACCCAGAGGCGCAGCTTCCTATTAGGTTGCAAGGCGGAGCCTACCCAACTATTTTATAAAAAGGAAAAACTGCTTTTAATTTTAAAAACACTTCATCACTCTATAAAGAATTTATTGATATTTTTCCAATGAACAATCACTACATTCGTCTGGCTTTGTTGGGTTGGCATCTTGTACTTCCCGCTCAATTGCGAAAGAAGGCTCGGGCCTTTCGGAGCTTTGAACGCATGCGCAGTACATATGCCCGGGAGACGCAGATATCCTGTGAATATGGGCTGCTTGGTAGCCCCGAAGGCTTGCCTAACACCTCTCTGAAGCTGGCCAGCCACCCATAGCGGACCACATAAAACGACATGCCATCGTTTAATACTAATTAATTACTAATTAATTATCATATTTTTCCGTCAGCCATTTTCTAAAAAATCAAGTCAGCTAGTTTCAAACTGAAGCTAGCTAGCCAGCCACAAAACCAAATACAGAAGAAATTATCAGAAAAAATTAACAAGAAAATATTAATTAATTATTATTCAATTACTCAATTTTACCATCATTATAAAACGTAATTGTTTAAAAAATTGAAAACTACCTACAAAAACACAATTTATGGAAGAAATAGCAAAATGCATCCTTATCGGGATCCAAAGATTTCCGTATGCTAATTACATGTAAATTCAGTGTATATTTTTACTATACGACACCATAATTAAAGCCGACAAGCAATTGTTTAAAATAGGCTCCAAAGGCATATTTCTACGACGAAATTTAAAAAATTCTTAGAATTAAATTTCACCGGCGGACCACAGAATTACTAAACAAATTTTGTAACAAATACTATATATTTATTGACTAAACACTCCAGAATTAATTACTGCTTGCAATTGTTTATGCAGAAGCCTAAACCTTTACAGAGGCTATAAACGTACCATGAATAAAACAAAAAAGTCACAGTAAAAGAACTAACAGGCGAAATTCAGAAATTACTTCATACGTTCCTACACAAGGCACCTATTAATTTAAAAATATTTTGTTTACATTAATTACTCTGCCCAGTTTTTGTTTAAATCGGCTAAAGTTTTGCACCTACGTCGCATTTCAGCCACAAAATGAAAAAATTCTTAAAATTATATTTTACCGGCGAACCACAGAATTATTATCACCATACCATTATTACAAATACTTAATATTTATTGATTAAAGGTCTGCAGAATTAATTACTGTTTGCAATTGTTTACAAAGAAACTAAATATTTTCAAAGAATATTAAAGTACCATGTACTTAAGAAAAAATCGTAGAAAAAGAACTAACAGGCGAAATTAAAAAAATATTTCAGCAGATTCTACTCTAGACATTCTTTGATTTAATTATAATTTGTGTAAATTAATTATTGTGCCCAGTTTTTTTAAACGCTCAAATATTCGCAACAATAACCCTTACCTTCGCACCAATAACTTTTGTTATTTTCGGAAATTCAGTGTTCAATGAAAATGAGACCTGGTCCATTCTTTCAAGCGTCCCTTGTTCTATCTGATTTTTAGAACACATTTCATGTAAGACAAAAATCTCAATCTTCAATATTGTACCTAGGCCATGTTAACTTTCTGCAATTTTCGAAAATACAGAGTTCGTAGAAAACGGGACCTGCGCCACATTTTTACCATATTTTGATACATGCGAAGAGAAAATGTATGGAAAAAATTTGCAGCCGATTTTGAAAGAAAAAGTGAAATACTGCCTATATTTCACGTAAAATTACGCGAAATTACGTAAAATTACGCATTTCTATTCTAGTCTAATTTTCGGCAAGGTCCGTATTTTCGAAAATTGCATAATTTTAACATTTAAAACTTATAAAACTGAAGATAGAGATTTTTGCCGTAACCCATTAACTGCCATTTGGAATCAAATAAAAAATTGTTGCTATTTTCGAGAAAACTTTGATGTTTATGAGACTTCATGCAAAAAACATCAAAAATCAAAATGTTTGAAATTCCCAAAGCTTCGAGTTTGTTCATGTTGATCAGGGAATAATAATTTTGGAGAAAATCGGCTGAACGGTTTAGGCACTAGCATAGGCCACAGATAGACAGACGATTTGCCATCAATCGATTTTTCGGCGTCAAGGACCCATAAAACATGGATTCTCGCTACACCACGAGTTACAGGAAGTACTTTACTATATATAGCAACAGGATTTATCCATCTATATTACCATCGCCTGGTAGTAAGCGTTTTTCTCCCGAAAATTTGTTGTTTTCCGGCTCATGATTAGAATAGTTCTCTTCGTACGAAGTAAGTGCGGGAAAGTAATAACAGATGGTAATAGTTGGCAAATACTTACCATTGTTTCTTTCTGTATTGATCTATTTATTTTTATTCCTTAATCTTACTTTACAAATTCTTTATGAACTTACCTGATCCCCTATTTTTTGTTTCGTACTACTTAAAATTTCTTCTTTAGTTTTATTGCTTCTTTTACACGATAATTTGGCACATAACTGAACATATTGTTAGTAAAAATATTATATTCATATTGATTTGTACAGAACGTACCGTCTGTTCTATTTTCTCTCGTTTCCGTCATATTTTCTTTATCTATTATTTGGCTTTCTACATTTTGGTTATCTATATTACATCCTTGGACGTGATAAATCAGTAAATGACAATTCTTCAAAGGCAAGTCGTCGTCTGATTGGTTGTTATAGTCCCAATCCTTGCAAGCTATTGCCTGAAATTCCATGAGTGGAATAGACTCCCTAACTCACAAGTTTTCCTCTTAGTTTTCATTCTAACGTAATTAGACATCACGGACAGAAGTGAATGGAAGAAGACTTTGATGAGCTCAATGAGCAGGAACGTAATTAGGCATTATCAAGGACAGAAGTGAATGGAAGAAGACTTTGATGCCTCAATGAGCAGAATCTATTATAATGATGACATAACATACTTTATTAAATATATCGCAATGTAACACAGAGTATACCATTATTTTAGAATATTTGCTTTTCTTTAAAATGGTTTACATGTTATTCAAATAGAAATTTGTCAAATATAATGCATTGTAGTTCAATAACTGAGGTAGAAAAATGATAAAACTACAATAAATTAAATGGGTTAAAATTTTTACTGGGAATTCAACATTTAAAATTGTCATTGTCAAATTAAGTAATTGGAAGAATTATCTATTAACGTTCAATGATCATACTATGTCAATTGCATATTCTTCAATTTTTTCAATGACATAATCCATATCCTCTACCGTTGCTGGAGGTTGACATGTCACCACCATTCGGAAGAAGTTCTTTATTCCTTTGTGTGATAACGGCGTATATCCGATCATTAAACACCCTGCTAGGACCAATCTCTCCTTGATTTTTGGCGCCACCTGAAATGCAAATAAAATGAAATAAAATATGAGGTTATATCTCATTCTGATCAAATCTAAAAAGAGACAAAAATATTTGCTAGTCCAAGTGATACAATGAGTTCGGATGTTGGAACTAATAACGATTCTGGTTCTTGACACTAACTTCCGAAATAAGATTTTCTATTTACATTGAGGGATGAAACCTATTTAATATTCTCAGCAGACAGTTCACGTAAGTGGTATGTGTAGCCTAAAGATTACGTATCCGAAGTTCATTGAAAATACAAGAGACGTTTTCGCTGATTTTCATGTTATTTGGTGTGCTGATATAAAAAATGACCTCAATTTCATTCCATCACATCAGAATATTTTGTAAAATTGATATCGATATTTTTGCTAAAAATCCTATTTGAAAGGTAAGTCTCTCGAACAATTTTGCATATAGAATAATAATAATAATAATAATAATAATAATAATAATAATAAAATTTGTTCAAAGAATTTGTTGCCCCGACCGGGACTCGGACCCGGACCTTCTGGTTTACGCTCAGCTGCTCTAATCACTTAACTACCGAGACAACCAATCCTTTGCGTCCAACAAGGTGACGGGATTGTGACAATTTTATATAATTATATAATATTATTATATATGAAGACTCTGAAGAGATGGTTGACAATTCAGTTGAGCTTCTTGGCAGTATTTATATAAAGATACTGAAAATAAATAATCATTCCCTCTCAGCGGATTCCTAAGACTTTCGCTGGCTTCCCTTGGTTTAATAGAAGCTCTATGCTATTGAATTAGTATATAATATAATTTCCTCTATCATATTTTTGTTTCTTCCTTATTTCAGATCATCGGTTTGGGGTATCATAAATGATGCCATTCCATGCTTTCTCTCCCCTTCTCCCTCGCTCTCTCCCCTTCTCTCTCGCTCTCCCTATCTCTCTCTGTGTTTCTCGGTTTTCGGAATCTAGTATGTAATAGTGGGTCCAAAAACAATTTTAGCAAAGAAATTATCAGCTTGTTCAAAGCGTCGGGACGACGTTGTTTCAACTTCGCTGTCAGCTGCTTAAGTGCCAACCTTGACGTCATTTTATGACTCTGGACTAATCTTCAATGTGATGCGCTGAACCTCGATTAATGTCTAAATCTTCTGGTATTTCATCCACACTGATTCCACAATTCTGCACGAACAACGCCTCGGCAACAAACAACACTCTCTGGACGCATCGTCTCCACTCGATTTGCTTCACCAGACCGAGGATGTCTATCACAGACTACCAACTTACAACAGAACTCTCTTCTTCTGTAGTGCATGTTTCAAGTGGGAGCTGCTATCTTTTAACTGATGCTCGAGAAGAATCTTCTCGTCTACTCGCGTCTGAAGATTACGGGTTATTTTTTTCAGCACATGTAATATTATTGCTACTGGTACGTAACACGCCCCAAGTTTTGAATACTTATTGCAAATTTTTAGTTTTCATATGAGTAACCCTAGTACTTATTGAATGAAGTTTTTATTTGTGGAGACGTGGGCCGCAGAAAGTCACTCAAGATGCATTCTCTAAAGGGGACTGTTGAAGCCTCACGGGGAAATAGTTGAAGGCTCCCGAACTATATCACGCGAAGTGCTGAGGACTTTCCATGGCTTGAATCGCCCAACGAAGGGGGCAGCAGCTCCTCGACCCGCAAGCGCGCGCTCACCGGCACAAGATACACACAGCCAAATCAATATACAGCACTGGCGCAGCGAAGGGCTTAAGCCCCCTCGAAGCAGATAACGGCGTAGGTGGCTTCATGCAAAGTACCCTCAAAAATCAAAATACACATTTGAAACTCCCAAAACCTTGAGTTCATTCACATCGATTTGGGAATATCACTTCTGAAGAAAATCGGAGGAACTTTTACGTGATAGCGTTGACCACGGACGGACGTTTGCCGTCAACCGATTTTTCGGTATCAAGGAGCCACAAATCATGGATTCTGGCTACACCACGTGGTAGAGGATTTTTTCTATATTCAGCAACAGGATTTGACCACTTTTTCGTTACCAGGGCCCGGCAATAAGAGTTTTTCTGTCGAAAATTCCCCCTTTTCCGGTGCATAAGTACATAACTTTCTCTTCTTACGAAGTACCTTCGTAAAGCTCAGGAAGTACAAATATTGAAAAATAAACAATACAGATTATCGTAATTCATATTAATAATATAAAAGGTAAAAAAATTATAATATAGAAACGAATTAACGTACAGAATTAATTTTTTCCCACCACTCAGGAGTTTCTTCTTGATTTCGCAGTCTCGGAGGTATATACCAAAAGCAAGTGTTGGTGCACTGGAATTCAGGTATAACCAACCGGAAGCCGGGTCGATTCCGAATGCGATCGCAGAAATACCTAAAAAGGAAAATAAAGCTTTTATTAATGACAAAACAATATTGTTGGAGCTCGTATGGACGTTCCTGAAAGCAAGATACTATACTGAGCTAGAACGTTCCTAAAAGCAAAGATAGGTACGCTCTGTAAGCTATCATCTGATATTGACTAAAAAAAAAAATTGAAAAAATTAATACGCAAAATAATTGTTGCAATTATTGTAACGTGAAACCCATTTCATGAATTACAAGCAATAGGGCAATATCGAATGTAGTTTTAAAAAGACATTAGTGGCCTGCAGTAGCGAAAATGCTGTTATGCGAGTCGGAAAATGGGGTGCTGGAGGAGCAAAAATCAGTTCTGAAAGGCACACGTGAATACAGAAGCTTGTCTTCCTCGTCACGAGACGTCGATGTGTCATAAGCACTGAGGCACCGAGTACGAGAATATAGTCGTAACATCTGGTATGAGAAATTGCAGATTATAATAATCAACACTAAGAGAAATGTTATTGTACAACGTTCTAAGCATGCTTAGTACGCGATCATGTAGTAAATACAAATCCATGTTGTCAGATTCCCTAAACATGATTAAATTTCGTTTAGTAATTTTGACAATTAAAAATAGTACGAGGATAAAGAAAGAATTGTCAGTGGTACTATACCTTGTTTAAATTTATTTTGCGTAAAAAAAGTCAAAACCTGTGTGTGATATGCTAGGAGAAAAAGTCTGTGTACGTTTTTATAATTGTGTGATCCCTACCCTGATAAATATATTAGTTGAATTCTGAAAACAAAAAGAAATGAGCGTTTTTGGCACGAATTGTTAACAAAATAATCGCTCTGATGTAATAAAATACATTTTCAAGGGTAAATTAGCTATAAATTTGAGCTCTTATCCCTCATGTCCTTCGTGAAGGAATAATACTTCCTGCCGCGACAACACGCAAAACGGTAATTTGAATAACTACATTTCCCACTGAATTCTAGAAAACGTGCACAGATTCATTACATTTATGTTCAGGAGTAAACACGGGGGGCCATCTCAGTATTTGCTCAAAGGATCAGGGTAACTGGACGAAAAACCCGATCCAGATGGGGTCATTGACCCAGCAGCTGAAGTACAATACTTGTTACCGGTTTTTTAAAATTACACAGTCCAAATGATACATTAAATATCATTGTTAAAATTTATATTACTTGTTTCGCAGATAAAATCATTGGGTAAGATCTACGTTTCATGTCGTCACCCTTACTACACACTGCGTAGCAAGCGCGCGTTCTCAGGAATATGACGAATTCAAATGGTTATAGAGTCTATGTGACTGTGAGAAATCAACGCTCTGTAAAATTCATATTCAGTACTTACTTGATTTTAAATAATGAAATTTATTCTAAACTAATGGTAGAAATACCGTCGGTAGCGAAACATGGGCAGCCAGCGTCCCTAACAGTTCTGCTAAACTAGGTTCTGTAAGGTTATCTAACTTAAGGAAGTACGAGATATTCCCTTTCCAGTTTTTACTTATTAGGGCATACTTAGCGTCATTTAGTAATTAAAGAAACGCAACTATCCATTTAGTAAATTTCACTGCAATGTGTTTAGTAAATATTACGACCTGTTTATTGAAATGTACTATACGTGTCTATGTTACTATACGTGTACGTATATGTTTACCTAAAAAGTAGTTTCGTGAACGTGATTAAGCCCTTTGTTCTTCCAAAATATAGTATACTATATGGTTCAATCTACTACGTCATTAACTGTATGAACTAAATATTTTCTCCGTTAAATATTTGTATTTCTTTAGTTAAACTAGAAACTGTTTGTGTATTTTTCCATTCTTCCGGGATATTAGACACCTCTCAAATGGCCAGAGGCTTCCAAGGTTTTCGTCAATTTATTTGTCTATTCGAAATTAATAATATAGTTAAGAAATACAAGTTATTTTCAAAGCAATGTTAGAGGTTCGAAATTTTACATTATGCAAAAAATTATTGTATCTTTCAAAAATACAAAGGAAAGATTGTTGACGTGTAACATATTAATTAAATGATTGTAACATACAACATTGCTTTATATCTGTTTCCGTGATCGCATTTGGGTTTGGTTGAGAGCTTCGCAATGAGAGTAGCGTTACTCCTTTCAGGCAGAAATTATAGTGACATACGAAGAAGAGGTATTGTAGAATAGGCTTCTTTTATGTATCCAGAATGTCTCAGAATAAATGTTACAAACTTCTAGAACATGTAGAAGGTATTGGAGATGACTAGAGCACGGATAATTATGTAATTATGTTTTCATAAGTTAATTATGTCAAGTCAAATCAACGATGTATTTACGTTTCATATCCGTTAACGGCTAAAACCGATGAAGTTTTAGAACATAGTATATTTGAATATTTTAGCAGAAAATACATACACATTTTTTACTAAAAAATTGTTACAAATTTCTAAATACTTCCATTTCCTGCAATTATGTAAATATAATTCCTCATTTATTATATATGATTTTGATAAGGAATCGCCCAGAAATCAATTATGCATTGTGAACATTTTCTGCAGCTTCCTCTCTAGAGATAAAAATGACTGTCTACATTAAGACCATTTCTTCACTCGCAATTAAATATTTTTAAAATTCGTTGCGTCTATCCACGCAACGCGTCTCCTAGCTCCTAAGAGCGTTGAGCGCACCTTGGAGTAATCCTCTTTTAATTACTATTATAGGAGTATTAGTAATCCTACTTTATTATACACCCAGTACACCCTCTAGGGGCCGCTGGGTGGTCAAGTCACGTCAGTCGCAGTCAAGTCAGGGAATCGCCTATAGGTTCCGTCGTGCCCTGCGTCATCTACCTATCGGCCAGAATTGGGAAGGCATAAGGAGAGGGGTAGGTTTAGGACGCTTCACAAGTGTTGGACCCTAAATTCATAGGATTCACAGGGTCACAAACTTTTACTCATCTTACTTTATAGTTAAAATGACGGGAAGGGATTCAGGAACTCAAGTAAACGTTCGCAGATAATATTCTACCCCATACGACACACAGTTTTTACTGTTTTTTAACGAAATAAATAAATCTAAATATAAAAGACAAGACGTCAAGGAAGCAGGCTACTGTTGGCAGTCTTTATCAAATGCGAAAACGTCCAATGGAACAGTATATATTAGACAGATATAAAACTTTGGCGTCTGATGTAAAAATCAGAAAAGAGAGAATTGTGCTCATAGCAGATGAGGTAAAACACTTATGGAAAATGCTGAATTTGCCAATTGAACAAGGTAAATCAACAGTCGAGAGAAAAATTGAGAACATTATAAAAAAGTATGGAAGGCATAATCAAAGACCTGGAAACTATGATTTTACTCGGATGTTTAATATAACAGATGAAAAAGAAGTGGGTGAGCCGAGAAGACAGTGAGTTCTATGAACTGCAGGTTTCAGAAAAAGGAAAAGTAAGTTATTGCGCCACAAAAAAGATATTCAAGAAAATCATTCAAGAAAAATTAAACTATTGAAAGGAAAAGGGTCCGTTACAGAAGAAGTCTTTGCTGAAGAATGTAGTGAAGAGATTTTGGAAGCAGAAACTTCTGTGAGTGAAGAACGATGTTCCAGTAGTAGTGAAAATTATAAGAAACCGTCAGCTTCTAGAAGACAAAAAGCTGATTTTGCAGTGCGCTTAGTGACTACAGCAAATTGAGTTCAAGGAAGGCCCAGAAGTATGTAAAACCTTGTCAGAAAGTGGAGTTTTCATACCTACTCCAACTCAAAGCGGCTTCTACAAAGCTGTAATGAAAGAAGGAGAAAAATTAAAAAAGAATTTTATGCAAAACTTAAGAAATAAACAATGGTGTTTCCATTAAAGTTTAAACGTCATCGTTCAATTCTTGGAACTCCAGGGCAATTTATATTTTGCTTGCTTTAATTCTGATACCAGAGTTTCGACGGGCAGCTGAAGCAGCTTGTGATTTTATCAGAAGTTCATGGGCTGATATCTCGTTCTCTGCTCAGTGTTTCAAGATTACTGACTTTGACAATCTATCAGGAGTTTGCAAGGAGCATCCAAAGGCTTTGAAGTCATTGAAAACTTTTTGGTCCACAAAGCCAACACCTATACCAACGCAGCGTTCTTACTTCCACTCTGTAAAACTACTGAAAAACTGAACATTAACATTCTTTTAACCAGTGCACAGTAGTAATATACATATTATTCATTTGTCACTTACTTTGAATATTGGATCAACGTTAATGAGAATAATAACAATTTTATCTTCGAGAAATGCTTTCGTCAATTGAAGGGTGAACGTACTTTAAGTAAAAGTAAAAATATGCATATTTTGTTGAATTGTTCACAAAAACTCCACAAAATGTGATGTGGGGATTCAGGCTTATAAAATTGTCATACACCTACTGTACATGCTTAAATATGGTCTACTGACTTCGTGCAATGCAATCTTTACAACGCCCTTTCACGAGAGTTTCATTTATATTTGAAACAAATGTTTGTTCCGGTGGCCGAGATCGCTAAGGCAGTAGTGCCGTAGCGAACTCGGACCGAAGGATCGCGGGTTCGAGTCCCGCCTCGGGCATGGTTGTATTGTGTTTCGTCCTTTCACCCCCTATCACCATCATTATCGTGTCAACCCACAGTTACCATACCGTTACAAGCAATAGTGGTCGCTAATGATCTAGTAGTTGATGCGACCTTAAATAATAACAACAAAAATATTTATTTTCTATCTTTACGGAGATCATTTTAAATAACAGGAATATGAGGAGTATTATGGTTAATTTTCTTTATGTTATCGTACAAAAAATATGATATGATAAACGTATTTTAATTTCACAGAATTTATATACTGATATGTTACACGTTTCTTACTTTTTATTACATACTTACAGTGCTTGTTTTCTAAAAGTATAGGTTCCGGAACGCACTACAATATAATTACAATTTTAAAACAGTTATATATTCATATTATGATGTAATAATTGTTCATTATTATTAATAATAAAAATA